GGGAGGGACAAGGAGGGATGGGGAGGGGATGTAGGGAGGGACAGGGAGGTAGGGAGGGGATGTAGAGGCAGGGGACAGGGGAGGCAGGACAGAGGCAAGGAGGGATGTAGGGAGGGGATGTAAGGGGAGGGATGTAGGGAGGCAGGAGGGATGGGGGAGGCAAGGAGGGATGTAGGGAGGCAGGGGAGGATGAGAGCAAAGAAGGAGCGAGGGGAGGGGATGTAGGAGGCAAGGGATGTAGGGAGGCAAGAAGGGATGAGGGGAGGCAGGGAGAGGATGTAGGGAGGCAAGGAGGGATGTAGAGGATGTAGGGAGGAAGGAGGGATGTAGGGAGGCAGGGAGGGATGAGGAGGCAAGGAGGGATGTAGAGGGATAAGGGAGGGACAGGAGGCAGGGAATGAGATGGGATGAGGAGGCAGGGAGGGATGAGAGTGTGAGGGATGTAGGGAGGGCGATGGAGGGATGTAAGGAGGAAGGAGGATGGAGGAGGGACAGGGACAGGGAGGCAAGGAGGACAGGAGGCAAGGAGGGATGTAGGGAGGCAGGAGGGAAGGCAGGGAGGGATGTAGGGGAGGGATGTAGGGAGGCAAGGAGGATGTAGGAGGGCAGGAGGATGTAGGGGAGGCAGGAGGACAGGAGGCAAGGAGGATGAGGGAGGCAAGGAGGGATGTAGGATGCGAAGGAGGGATGAAGGAGGCAAGAGGGATGTAGGGAGGCGAGGGATGAAAGCAGGAGGGATGAAAGGAGGCAGAGGATGAGGAGGCAGATGGATGAGAGGCAAGGAGGGGACAGGGAGGGATGTAGGAGGCAGGAGGGATGTAGGGAGGCAAGGAGGGATGTAGGGAGGCAGGAGGGATGTAGGAGGAGGGATGTAGGGAGGAGATAGGGAGGGATGAGAGGCAGGGAGGATGAGGAGGCAAGGAGGGGACAGGAGGCAGGAGGGATGAGGCAAGGAGGGATGTAGGGAGGCAGGGAGGGATGTAGGGGGCAAGGAGGAGACAGGGGGAGGGGAGGCAGGGAGGGATGTAGGGAAGCAGGGAGGGATGTAGGGGGAGGCAAGGAGGGATGTAGGGAGGCAGTGAGGGATGTAGGGGTAGGGAGGGATGTAAGGAGGCAGGGAGGAGGGATGTAGGGGAGGCAAGGAGGGATGCATGGAGGCAGGGAGGAGGGATGTAGGGGGAGGCGGGAGGGATGTAAGGAGGCAGGGAGGGATGTAGGGAGGCAAGGGAGGAGACAGGGAGGGAGGCAAGGAGGGGAGACAGGGAGGGATGTAGGGGAGGCAAGGAGGGAGACCGGGGGAGGTTGGCAGGGGAGGGATGTAAGGAAGCAGGGATGGATGTAGGGGAGGCAAGGAGGGATACATGGAGGCAGGGAGGGATGTGGGGAGGGATGTAGGGAGGCAGGGAGGGATGTAGGGAGGGGCAAGGAGGGATGCATGGAGGCAGGGAGGAGGGATGTAGGGAGGTAGGGGAGGGATGTGGGGAGGCAGGGAGGGGATGTAGGGAGGCAAGGAGGAGACAGGGGAGGGAGGCAGGGAGGGATGTAAGGAAGCAGGGAGGGGATGTAGGGAGGCAAGGAGGGGATGCATGGAGGCAGGGGGGAGGGATGTGGGGAGGTGGGGAGGGATGTAAGGAAGCGGGAGGGATGTAGGGGGACAAGGAGGGATGTAGGGAGGCAGGAGGGGAGACAGGGGGAGGGAGGCAAGGAGGGAGACAGGGAGGGATGTAGAGAGCAGGGAGGGATGTAGGGGAGGGAGCAAGGAGGGAGACAGGGAGGGCAAGAGGGGAGGCAGGGAGGGATGTGGGGGAGGCAAGGAGGGGTCATGGGGCAGGGAGGGATGGAGGGAGGTAGGGAGGGATGTAAGGGAGGCAGGGAGGGATGTAGGGGAGGCAGGAGGGAGGACAGGAGGGAGGCAGGGGAGGGGAGACAGGGAGGGATGTGGGGAGGCAGGAGGGTCATGGAGGCAGGGAGGGATGGAGGGAGGTAAGGAGGGATGTAAGGGAGGCAGGGAGGGATGTGGGGAGGCAGGAGGGAGACAGGGGAGGAGGGGAAGGCAGGGAGGGATGTAAGGAAGCAGGGAGAGGGATGTAGGGAGGCAGGGAGGGATGTAGGGAGGCAGGGAGGGATGTAGGGGAGGCGAGGAGGGATGTAGGGAGGCAAGAAGGGAGACCAGGGAGGGATGTGAGGGAGGCAGGGGGGATGTGGGGAGGCAAGGAGGGATGCAGGGGAGGTAGGGAGGGATGTAGGGGAGGCAGGGAGGGATGTAGGGGAGGGAGGGGAGGGATGTGGGGGGGGCAGGGAGGGGACAAGGGAGGGATGTAGGGAGGCAGGGAGGGATGTGGGAGGCAGGGAGGATGTAGGGAGGCAGGGAGGGATGTGAGGGAGGCAAGGAGGGAGACAGGGAGAGGGATGTAGGGAGGCAGGGGAGGGATGTAGGGAGGCAGGGAGGGATGTAGGGAGGCAGGGGAGGGATGTGGGGAGGCAAGGAGGGAGACAAGGAGGGAGGCAGGGAGGGATGTGGGGAGGCAGGGAGGGATGTAGAGGCAAGGAGGAGTGTGGGGGAGGCTAGGAGGGATGTAGGGAGGCAGCAGGGGATGTAGGGAGGTAGGGAGGCAGGGAGGGATGTAGGGAGGCAAGGAGGGATGTAGGGAGAAATGTAGGGAGGCAAGGAGGGATGTACGGAGGCAAGGAGGATGTAGGGAGGCTAGGTGCAGTGGGTTTGAGAGGTATTATCTTGGTGGAGAAGATAAGGAGTAACAATGGCGTCTAATCAAGAGAAAGTGCTCTGTGTTGTCTGGTTTGCAGAGAGCAAATCGGCGACAACGGTGCAAAAACAATGCCGCCAGAGGTATGGTAAAGAGCCACCCTCAAAACCCAGCATTCGGGCACGGTTTCAAAAAATTTCTGGAAACGGGTGGCGTTTGTGACTTGCCCCGAAGTGGATGTCCAAGGAGTCCGTTGAATCTGTTCGGGAAGCATTCCAACGAAGTCCTAGAAAGTCTGTTCGAGCCGCATCAACGGAGTTTTGTCCTCCTGAGACATCCGAAGCACACAAAGATCTTTCTGTAGCTCTTTACGGTCTGTTTGGTTCTTACTTTTCCTGAATAACTTGGTATCGGCCGCAAACATTTGTATACTGAAGTGTAAAGCTCACTGCAGGTTGATTGATTGATTGATACGTTTATTGAGATACAAAAAAACATTAATACATCTCAAAGGGATGAAGTGACATAAGTCATCCTCACCCCAGTCCAGGAATGTCCCTCTCAGGACTCACATAAATCCCTAATATTTCATATAATTAGTTATAATACATAGTTATATTCTAGATGCAAAATTTCCATATTTCTTTAATATTTCATCTATTTTCCTATTTTTATACATCCACTCTATTTGCATGGGGACATTATTTATATGGGCATTTCTATATACATTAAGCAATGGGCATTCCAGTATATAATGTGGCAGGGTATGGGATCTGGATGTTCTACAAACTCTACATTCTTTATCCTGTTCACTTCTCTCAGCTCCAAGTTCCCAATAATATTTATATCCTAATCTTAACCTCATATACACTGAATCTTTCCACCTACTCCTATCTTTCCCATATGTAAATTTTGTGTTCATGAGAACATGATGGTAATGTTTCATTGTTTCACTTTTCTCGTATATTTCATTCCTTTTGAAATTATCTTCTATTTATTGTATTTTCCGTAATTTGCTCCTTAATTGCTTCAAGGTTTTAGTACATATTATGTCGATCTCGGCCTTTTCCGTGGCTCTTTTTGCTATTATATCTACTGCTTCATTAAGACCAATCCCCACATGTGAAGGGACCCATACAAATTGAACATTATGGCCATTTTTCCTTATTGTATTTACTAATTTTCTACATGAACCAATAATGTGTTCAAAGACTGGACTCCCACTGTTCAAAGAATCCAAAGCTGCCCTACTATCAAAAAAAAAAATATGCATCTTTATACCTCTTTACAACATTTTCCAATCCTACTAACATTGCATATAACTCAGCTTGTGTTGGTGAAATAAAACTGCTCAACCGAAGTCCAATTTTGATGTCATCATTTCCTTGTTCTGTGTACTGTCTTATAAGGATCCCGCACCCTGCCCTGCCACTTGACATAACTGAACCGTCACAATATACATGTAATGTGTTTATTTTAGGCAAATTACTAATCTTATTCCCATATAAAGATCTTAACTGTCCTGGTTCATGTAATGATTTCTTCATTGTGAGAGGCACTATGTCTAACTCTACTTCTCGTTCTTCCCAGGGTGGATTCATACAACTCTTCTGAACAGCTGTACACCATTCTGCCAGATTACATTTTTTAATAATATTTACTAATCCATTCATGTATCCTCTCTTGCCTTGCCTGCAGAAGGTCCTTTTATTTTTTAAACCATCATTTATATCTTGTACAAATTTACCCCCACTATTCCCTCTCATTAATCGAACTGCTGCAACTGTATTAATTTCATTGGCCCTCTGTGAAATGCTCTGTAACCTTAGTTCCATTTTCATTATCTCAATCATTGCATTCTTTTGACACCCTAAAATTATTCTCATTGCTTCAGTTTGCATGATCTCAAGCTTCCGTAGGCTTACTGCAGGTCATTTAAAAGATAAACACCAACTACAGCCAGTACTAGATACGACCACATTATCATTTATCCATCATAAAATAAACCAAACCAATCTACCTAACCTAACTAAACTAGAGCTTCATTTAAACATTATTATATTACTTACATTTAATTTTGCTCACCAGTATTTGAAGAAAGCATATGTAAGTGTTTGGTCTATTGTCATCATCTTTAATATTCTACCAACAAGATAAACCGAGGCAATACTATATTTATCTTGTTTTCATTTACAAAATATAAAAAATTAACTGCAGTAATTTAGGGAAGGTTTTGTAAATTTTATCTATAATAAATGATAATGCAGTAGTATCTGGGTACTTGTATAGTTCCGGGACTTGCCGCCTGCGTAAATAATGGCGCTAGTGCCATAAGGACCTTTAAACACAGTACACAATTCTCTTATCTTCACCGTCCATAAGTCACGTAATTACATAAAGCGCTTATATTTGGTTATTGGTGACTTAATTATGATATTATTCTTGATATTTAGGAAGGGTGATAGTGAGATGTCTCTAGCGGCTGTCCTGGGTCCTATACAATACTGTACTATTTATTTTAACTCGTACTGTAGTGGGATTTCAATGTCATGCTGTAATTGTTATTACATAATTTCCTCAGTTATCCACATCGATTGATTGATTAATTTTATGGCCCATTTCTCCTTCATATTAATCCAGTACAATACTGTTTTTGCCAGCTGGCGACAGTTTTACAAATTTGAACCTCTGTAGTATGGAAAATTGTGGCAATACAAAAACTAATGCAACCCTGCCTGACCTAACACAGCCTTCCTAACCTAACCCAACCCACCCTAACCTAACCTAATCCAACAACATAACCTAAAAACAAACCACAAACAATCCAACCTAACCTAGTTAATAAACTTACCTACTGGGGTGGAGGGAAGCAACCCCTAGGAAGCTGTCATGTGAGGATATAGGAAGTACCCAGGATCCAACTGTACGCACCTCTGTGTAGTACTGGCTGATGTCCTATCCTCTGTTCTCTCCATATATTGTACTGTATATGTAATGCAGGGCTGACATTCTGAGGATGCACAGGAAGTATTTTCAATATATTAGAATACATTTAATTTGGCAATGTTGCTCTTTTGAAATGTTGAAAATTTGGTTTTAAGATTTATATTTTGTTTTAGTAATTTTAATATTATCTTGGTTGTTCAAAATTAATACTCTGCGAATTGATCAATATATTTTGTACGGTTACCTGATATAGTACAGTGGCTGATCATTTTGTGAGATGTGCCAACTCTGTGGAATGCTTATCTTGCATCCTTTAGTCTGGTTACTACCTGTATTGTGAGTTCCTTAGGGGCCATTCTTGGAGTTTTAATACAATATAAACAAAGACAGATTTGCTACATCTCACAAAATGTTCCAAGTATAAATGCAAGTGACTGTGTGAATCTATCTTTCTTTAGCATATCTCGAGGACCAGACAGAATAGTAATATGGTAGGTATAGAATACTGCAAGTTTGGCAACACCACACTTTTAAAGAACCTTGTATGGAATGGACCACCTAGGTATGTATAAGATCTTCAAAAACACTCTTAATTTTGTATGCCATGTGTACTGAATATGACTTCCTTGCAGCTCAGATGACCAGTGTAGGACGCAGCATCATGCGAGCAGTTCTTGTACGTCAGTTTGGTGGGGTGGAGCAGATGAAAGTGGAGAATGATGTACCAATTCCCTCTGTCGGTGATAAGCAGGTACAGTACTGTACTGTACTACTGCATTACTCTTTATATATTTACCTGCTAATACTGTACTTTACCCTCTTCACCACTTGGCACGTCTGGTAGTCGGTCATTTATCTGTTGTACTATTTCCATCTATTGTTTAATAAAGTAATACTGTACTGCGAGTGTCATTAACCCGTGTATGGGGTCCTCTCTGTGCCGAATAAAATTGTCCAACATTAGCCAAATAAAATAGTAAAAGTGCAGTCTACATGGTGAAGGGGTTAGTGGACATACAGTAGTCTACTAATCCCTTGTGTATGGGATCCCCTACGTGCTGAATAAAATATTAAAAGTGGCATCCCCACAGTAAAGGGATTAATCATCTTACTTTCTGATAAATCGCACTTTTATACTATCATGAGTATTTCCATGTACAGTACTATCTCTCCATTCATTCACTGCAATCTCCCAAAATATTGTCATACATGTTACAGAAACAATTTGAAACATATATTCTAAGAAATCTTTCCAAAATATAACAACAGAAAGGCTTTTAATGTAATTTTGCAACTTTTAGATATTAAAAATATCATCTTTGTAATTTAGCAATACTGTGTCTGTGAAAAAAATTATTTTGCAACATTTGGAAATTAAATAGGAGTAAAAGAAATTGCTATCATTTTAAACTTAAGAAAGGGGTCATGTTATATTGCAATATGTTTAAGTTAATAAAGAGGTTAAAAGTTATTTGCAACATTCAAGAACTACACAAGACGCTACAATGTACGTCATTTAATAATATTTACGAATTCAGATACACATTCATTTTTCACATACATAATTCCAGGTACTAATCAGGGTTTTCATATCTGGAGTGAACCCAGTCGACACATATATCCGAGAGGGTGTATTTGTGGTGCGGCCTGACCTGCCATATACCCCAGGGTATGACGGTGCAGGGGTGGTGGAGGCCGTAGGGAAACGTGTTACTCAGTTCAAGGTAATGGGTGTTGTGTGGATAATATGGGAGACATCACCAGGACTATTTTTGCCATGCCAGTTTAGGGTTCCTGCTGCTAATCCCCCTCCTCTCCAACTCTTTTTTTTATAATCGCCATCATTAACATTTTTACGGCCATTTTCCACACCTGGGCTAACCGTGATTACCCGATGGTACGGTGTCCCCGTTGCCATCGGGTAATTTTGAAGCGAGTTTTACGACTGGATATCCTTCCTATCACCAACTGTTATAGAGTGGGAGCTGGGCACTGTTTGTAAGGCTTCCAATTGCCCTCTTAGCTGGCAAGGCAGGGTTGCTGCTCCCTGAGGTGACCAGTGATAACCTGTCAGCCTATAGTTTATGCTACTTGGAAAAAACCCAAACTCGTCACATTTCAAATTGAAAAGCTTATCCCTTTGATATGTAGAACCCAGTTAGCAGTGTACAGTGTGTATGTACTGCAATCTCATGTGGCAACAAAATCTGTTCTTGTGGATGTCTCCCTTGTATTATGAAGGTGCTAACTTTGTCCCCATATTAACAGGTACTGGTAAAAGTGTGTGTCAGTGGTGTAAACCCAGTTGATACGTATGTTCGTAGTGGACAGTATTCCAAGCTGCCTGACCTACCCTATGTCCCAGGGAAAGACGCAGCGGGAGTAGTTCACGGCACTGGTCTAAAAGTTACCAATTTTAAGGTTCGTTTAGCCTGTGTTTCCCATGTGCAAGAACCTACACTCACATGTATGGAACACATGAAGATTAGCCCCCAGTTTATTTCACCTGATGATTAAACACTATTCCTGCCTGGGAGTTAGGTTAGGTCAGGTTAGCTTGACGGTGGCTAATCTCCAAGTGATTCATGTGGACTAGGGTATGGCATTTGAAAGTATCAGTTTATGAAGTTTTTTTATTAATGTATTACTTTAACATTCAACTCTTCATTCTTCTTATTATTTTTTATTGTATATAATATAAAACCTTTTGACATTACTATACAGCTCCTCCCCGACTTACGACCTGCCTCAGTCGTACCAAAATTTTGTCAAATTGCGTATTTTCGAGTCCCAACGTCAGTACACAGACAAAATTTTTGTTTGTAATTCACTTTAAAATGGTTGGCAAGCTTAAAAGTGAGAGTTTTGTGGTGCCGAGAAGAAAAAAATACACCAATTTTAGATTTTCTATGTATTATTTAAGCATTTTCAACTTACGACCATTTTTACTTACAACCTGGATTTGGGTCCCTAATCCCGTCGCAAGTCGGGGAGGAGCTGTAGTTTATTATCTTGAATACATTATTGAAAAAGAAACACTTGATTGATGTACAGTATTAAATTTCATACGAGATCTTCTCCATACATAATACTTGTTATAGATATTGTACGTGTAATGTTCAGATGTCGGCGATGAAGGTGACCTTCCCATCTCTCTCTCTGCCTTCCCTTCTGTAGTCCCTGTAGTGGTTATCTTGTACAGTACACCTTTAATGATCTTCCTTCCTCAGGTGACAACATATTTGGCCTGTCTCATTCTTAAATTAGCAGTAGGGACGGTGGCCATCATCAGTGGAAGCTAATTGTAGAGACGGCACCCATCATTAGTGGCAGTTTGCTGTAGAGATGTCAGCCATCATCAGTGGCAGTTAGCTGTAGGGAGGACGGCCATCGTCTGTGGAAGTTACATGTAGGGACGGAGTCCATCGTCAGTGGCAATTAGCTGTAGACGTCAGCGATCATCAGTGGCGGTTAACTGAAGGGACGAGGCCGTCACCAGTGGACGTTTCATGTTCTTTGCATTTTATTTTTGCACAAACTATGTCTGCCTGTCTGTTTATCACTGATCTATTTACCTATTTATCTGCCAATCTAGCTATCTATTGCTAGGTTTCAGCCATCCTGTCATACAAAAGGGAAAAGTTTTAGATACTAAAAAAAATATATATCTTTTTTAAATATCACGCCGTGGTCCTGCATTCTGTACAAAGTTGTTTCCACAGCCGGGAGATCGCGTCTTCACCTCTCATGGTACTCAGATCGGAACTCTGGCCGAATTCACGTGTGCAGACGAAACCCGTGTCTTCCCTCTCGATGACAAGCTAACTTTTACCCAGGGTGCGGGCATAGGCATTCCTTACTTCACAGCTTACCGCGCCTTGTTCCAGAAGTAAGAAGTGTAGTGCAAGTCCGTGTCTTTCCTTTGTTTAAACTTACTCAGTCTATTGTTTGTAAACCTGCATTGTCTTTGTACATTGTTTGTAAACCTGCACTATATACATTGTTTGTATACCTGCTGTCCATTTATAATTTGTATACCTGCACTATTTATCTACAATGTTTGTATACCTGCATTGTGTATGTACAGTCCTCATAAAAATTATTGTTAGATTTTCCATCGCTATAATTTGAAACACTAGACAAAATGTTCTGATATGATCCTCAGTGTATCATCATAAGTTGGTAGGAAATTACGAAATTATATTCGTAATGGAATGGAATGCTTGACAGTATGTATAAGACCCAACCTAACCAGACCTGACCTGACTTAACCTAACCAGACCATACCGGACATAACCTAACCTTACCAGACCAAACCAGACTTAACCTAACCAAACCAGACCTGACCTAACTTGGCCAGACCAAACTAGGCCTAACCTAATTGTCTAGGTGGATTGGTAAAAATTGCTTGAAACAGACGACCATACAATGGAAATCGTCCGTGTGTGTGTGTACCTCATACCAAATCATTACGTGATAATCAACAGAGCCCACGCCAAGAAGGGAGAGCGAGTACTGATCCACGGGGCAAGCGGTGCTGTTGGTCTGGCAGCGGTGCAGATCGGTAAAGCACATGGTGGGTATTTGTATGCTTCATCTATCTCCTTCTTAGACTGATGTTTTGTGGGGTCACCTGAAGATTAGCCCCCAGCTTATTTTATCTCATGATTCAACAGCTTAATGACTAACCAAACCCATTCTAACCCAGCCCAGCCCAACCCACCTCCAGCAGCATTAAAATGGTTATAATCAGGTGATATAAGCTTGGGGCTAATCTTCAGGCAATCCAAAGTTTTTAACTGCATCAGTCAGCTATATGTGTACTGATCCTGAGTGACTGTTTCACACACACATAGAGAGAACTTAAACAGCTTCTTCTGATGCAATTTGGGACCAGATCTTGGACACAAATACAGTACAGTACAGTATATCAAAATCACTGGTTGGGTATTTACTACTAGAAAACCTCATCAGTGATATTTCTCTTTTTTATGGATTTACACATTAGCAGTGCATTTGTTAGGTTGGGAAACACTCATGATTTATGGTTCTGTGCTAGAAATATTACTAATAACACACACTTAAAAGACCCCCCGCCATCACTATCAATTTTCCCTAGATTTACAAATGGTTCTGGACTAAATAAATAAAAAATATCACAAGTAACAGACACTTAGAAGACCGTACCGCTGTTATTTTCCCCTACAGGTTTATGCATCGTTGGAACGGCTGGCACCAAAGAAGGCTTGGAGCTCGTCAAGAACATGGGTGCTGATGCTGTCTTTAACCATCGAGAAAAACAGTACATGGCCCAGCTCGAACAGGGGGAGAAATTTGACGTCATTCTTGAAATGTTAGCTAACGTTAATCTGGGAAAGGACCTGACTCTGATGAGCCCTCGAGGAAGGACTATTGTGAGTGTGTGTGTTTCTGTCTCTCTCATCCAACAAAACACTAGAAAAAGAACAGAGAATATTAGTTTACGGAATCAAAAATTAAGTTATTCCAAGATTGTTAAGTTTATTATCAGATTGCTCAATTACCATCAGAGAAGATATTGTTAACAATGTCATACTGTTAAATATATCTTCAGCATATCTCAGTGTCGGTTACCTCATCCACAGGTGATTGGCTCACGAGGAACTGTGACCATCGACCCACGCCTTCTCATGGGACTCGAAAGTTCTGTAATGGGTGTTGCCCTCTTAACTGCCACGCCCGTAAGTTAATGTCTCATCCTATTAATGTCCACACCTAAATTACCTTTATACAGCATGATGGCACGTATAATATTTTTCACTTCCTTAACCCTTAAATGGAGGCTGAGGACAACCTACTCTGCCCTCATATGCATAAAAATGGAATGCAAGAACAGGAAACGTTTAGTGATGATGATCGATGCCCTTACAGCTATGGTTACATCCAGTTGTCGTGAGGTACAGTACTGGGACTCTGGTAGTGTTGAGGATGAGTCTCCCTCAGGCTGGACTCAAATTTATTAAATATTGTTATTTTTATTAAAATCTCATCCACTGTTTTTTTAAGTTTTGTTGATTCTCATTGAGATACTTCACTGGATGTTTGTAACGTGGTAATAGTGGTTCCTTGTCACCTGCGGCAAGGGTTGTGGTACCTGTACTCTTCCATTTACATGTCTTATCTGCGTATGATATGAACACAGGATGTGGTGACGGTACCCATCCATCTATGTGTCCATTTAAGTACAGTATATTATGAACACAGTAACTCAGACAATAATGAAACTTGGTAAATAAAAGTAACCTAACAAGATCTCATAGGAGTTTGATAATTTCAGTATTTTACCTACATTTGTTTTAGTGAATTATGACCCTTCAGTGAGGAATAATCGCCCAGTACTAACTTATTTATCTAACCAGGATGAATGGAAAGACCTGACTGCTGGTGTGGTGGAAGGCATCAAGGCTGGCTGGGTGAAACCTATAGTAGACAAGGTGTATACTTTAGAGGAGGTGAGTTTACCATAATTTGTTTCAAGGTGAAGGAAGAGTTGACCTTATGTTATTGGGATCCTCTGAAGATTAGCCCCTCCCAGCTTATTTCACTTGAAGATTAGCCCCTCCCAGCTTATTTCACTTGAAGATTAGCCTCTCCCAGCTTATTTCACTTGAAGATTAGCCTCTCCCAGCTTATTTCACTTTAAATTGTCCAAGTGGCATGTAATAATTTATTTTATGCAATGTTTGCCATCCTGTTTAGACAATTAGGTTAGGTTAGACTAAATCATCAGTTGTCTAGTCAGGAATCATCATAAGTGACATGCAATCATTTACATATTTTGTGTTATTGTTGTCTACAGGCCGGCAATGCTCACCATGATATCATCAACTCCAAAGGTGCCAAGGGGAACCTGGTAGTTAAGGTGCAAGATTAACCCACAGATGTTACAGGTGCAAGATTAACCCAAAGATGTTACAGGTGCAAGATTAACCCACAGATGTTAAAGGTGCAAGATTAACCCAACGATGTTACAGGTGCAAGATTAACCCACAGATGTTACAGGTGCAAGATTAACCCACAGATGTTACAGGTGCAAGATTAACCCACAGATGTTACAGGTGCAAGATTAACCCACAGATGTTACAGGTGCAAGGTTTAACTACAGTTGCTACAAGATGAACCATAGTTGCCTGGTCAAAATTTTCTGCTCAAATGAGGGAGTTTTATGGCTCATCGGATGTAGTTACAGCTGGTTGGTTATAAATAAGTCTTCCAGTTCTTGTTTCATTTTATGGCAGAATTGTCCTACAGAGTTTGGGTGAGATATAAGTTTGTACCCACCATCTACAGTATACCTGGCATTCCCACTTTGTCTAAACACCTGTTATTCCCATGTCATCTACACCCCTGGGTACCCATTTAATTTTTACCGTCTCTATCTACTAGGAAAATGTCACCTATTCCCTGGATGTCTACTATCAGTTAATGACCAGAAGATTATCAAGTGATCCTTTGACCTGACCTACCTGTCAGTTACTTCCCACCCAACCTGTACAAACCATATTTTTTGAAACCATTGTAATACTCAAGGCTTCCAGTCTGACTTAGACCAGCCAATCACAGAGCATTTTGTGTATTGGTAAATTTGATTGGTGATTAACACTAGAGCCTAGATTGTATTATGAGCCAGTGAATGTGATTGGTGATTAACATTGGTGCTTAGAGAATGTATCACATATTAATAAATATAGTTTATCCAATTTTAACAGAGGACAATTATCAGAGTAAACAAAATCCATACTTGACCAAGACTGGCACATGTTCAGGTACTTTAAGAACTCACATCATGTCCAGTACTTAACAATTTTATGCAACAAGAGAACTGACAAACACCCAACTGGCTAATAAGGTGACAAGTGATGAAGTGTAAAATGTTTTCCTTAATTCAGGATACTGAACTTATGGAAAATAACTATCCTAACCGAGCCATAATAAAAATGTTATATAATTGTATCACTCTTTTTTACTGTGAAGAATTTAATAAGGTCTAGTTAAATTAGTTTTTTATAAGCCTCATGAAATTAAGTACCATTTATACCATATAAATTACCTTACAGACCCTCCAGTACTATACAGAGAAGAATAAAACACTCACCTAAAGTCTAAAATTTCATGTTTGTGTTATTACATTGGTCTTCTTACTATTCCTCCTCATCATTTTGCACACAGCCATTCACCTTTGAGAGACTTTCTAATGTACCATTTTTCCCAAAGATAGCATTCTCCATTCCTGTTAAATTTATTGCCATGACTGGATGAAGAGCTGTTCTCAAGGACCAGTACAGCCCAGGGAATAGGACTTCTTGCTGAGCCAACATTTGCTTCACTCGATGACGCTCCTAGAACACAGTCGTCACATTAACTGTATATGTATGTTATTGCATATCTCTATAATGTTATATGCATATGTGCAGTTATGGAAAAAGAGTCCTGTAAGTCCTCCGTCCCATCCATGAACCCTGAGACTCGTGAACCTGTGAATCCGAGACATCACAAAGTGTTGGGCCCATAGATGGTGCACTGTGTGATGTCTCGTATTTACTGGTTCACAAGTCTCAGGGTTCATGGATGGGACGGACGACTCATAGGACTATTTTCCATGACTGTAACTAATGATTAAACAAACGACATCAAATGAACTCTAATTCTTATAAGCCATAATCTTAATAAACCCAACATAACATAACTTTATAATTAGGTTTTACCCTTTAAAAATGGCTCTCAACAGTGAAAGTTAGTTCTAGGAATGGTGGCCATCAGCTGTGGATGTTTCTTGTATTATATTTTAGCACATTCAGTGGTGCAATAGGGAATCCTTAGCCACTATTTAAGAGTTAAATCTGACATAGGAGGTCCAGTGCTAATGGTTAGGTCAGGTTAAGTTAAATGAGGTAAGGTTAAGTTAAGTCAGGTTATGTTAAGTCAGGTCAGGTTAAGTTAAGTTAAATCAAGTCAGGTTAGATTACATTAAGTCAGGTCAAGTTAGATTAAGTTAAATCAGATCAAGGTAGGTTAGGTTAAGATTGATTAGTACAGGGGCCCAATTAAGTTCCAACCACTTCAGAAGTCACTAGTAAGGAAATTATATATTATCTTACAGTGTCCAGTCTTCCAACAGGCAAACTTAAGCCTCGTGATGTTTCTTTATCTTGTTCTTGTCAGTCATTCACCCACATGGATGGATCACAACAAATTTCTCTCCCAAGAAACATCGTACCTATAAACTTACCCTGGGTGTTCACTAAATGTCTATGTACAGGATGTGTTTATTGTTCGAGGTGTCACGGGTCGTGTATCGATTCTACGACCCTATACAATAAACACACAACTTATGACACACCCTGTATAAGACCTATAGATATAGTTTGTATCACGAGGTCTCTCCATGGCTTACTGCAGGTCGCCCACAACACACAATAAACAGTAACCCACAGCATTGGAATGACTCGACAGGTGTGTTTGGATGTCCACTTGTTAATTTTTTCATCAAGATTAAAATTAATTGATCCAATGACCCAGGAACCAGTTTAAAATGATAACCCAGTCTAGTTTCAAGGCATTGTAATGTAATTTGGCCAGTGACCAGTTCATTATTACCCAGTCTAATTTCAAGGTATCATATTTTATTCCAGTTTGACATATGACAGGTATATTATAACTAGCCTATGCACATGACAGACAAACAGACAGATGTTACAATCGACTACTCCCGGTACTGCCACAACTCATCAAACACCTACAGCTTGTTCCTTTCCTTACCTTCGGTGCCTCAAAACATGCAGGACAGTTCTCAGGGATAACCGGCAGCTTCTTGTACTCTGCGAATCTTCTCAGATCTTTTTCCCGCACGTATGCAAAAGGACGGACAACTCGGAGATCTCCTTCCCTACAATGAAAAATAAACTTTGTGTACGATCATAAAACAAAATTTTTTCTCGATTGATTTATGCAGGAATACCTGTACCTGAATACTTATCTGATTGAGTTTTACCATTTAGCAAAGAAAAATAATAAGGTTTTTCTTTATATTTTACGAGCTGTATACAGTCTCTCCTTGACTTACGACATACGACTGTCATGGTCGTATAAAAAAATTTTCACATTACGTATTTTTGAGTCCCGACGTTAGTGATCGCGCTGTGTACTGACATTTTCGTTTGTAATTCCTTTAAAATGGCTGGCAAGCGCAAAAGTGAAAGTTCTCGTGGTGCTGAGAAGAAAAAGAGACACCCATTTTAGAATTTCTGTATTATTTTCACCTTTTCGACTTACGACCAATTCAACTTACGACTTGGTCGTCAGGACGGGACCCCGTCGTAAGTCGAGGAGAGACTGTAAATACAAATTTCAAGAAAGGAAGCAGGTGAAAAGTGCAGGAAACAAAACGGTGGTTATGATATTAACCACACACACACACACACACACACACAAACAAAAAAATAAAAATAAATAAGTACAGTACTGTACTCACTTGACACTATAGTGAGCTTTCATTGTTCGTAATCTCCCATTGTGAAAAATGGACATAATAAAGCTCTCGGTCAGGTCGTCCAGGTGTTGGCCAAACGCGAGGACGTTGTACCCCTCACGTCGTGCTGTTGCATAAATCCTGCCCCGCTTCATTCGAGAGCAAAAGCTGCATATAGAGTTGAGGTTCTCCAAACCTGCAGCTTGTTTTAGGATATCTGAAACACACATGAAAATATCTACAACTTACACACAACTCATTCATTTACTTTTCACTACTGTATATACCTCTACAAAACACACACACACACACTTAACCTATCCTGCCCCCAAATAGCATTCGGGTAGTTACTCTTTTGGTGAAATAAACTGGAGTGGAGACACATCAGGTGATCTCAAAAGCCTCCAAGCTACCCACCACCACCACCACAATTAGTGAAAACCCCATGTACAGTAGTTGTCCCTACCTTGTTGCTCAAAGAAATATGGGACTCCTAGACTAGCCAGGTAAGGTATTAGCGGCCTTGGATCATAAGATGCACTCATTGGATCCACTGTTACAGCACCCAGGGTAAACTTGAGGCCCCTAGCACCGGCATAAAACTGGTACTGGCGAAGTGTGTGGAGGAGGGAGAGAGAATCCTTCCCCCCAGAGAGACAAACTAAAACCCGGTCACCGTCTCTTACCATGTCGAACTCCAGCAGAGCCTGAAATGTGGAGAAAAAGAGATGTATTAGAAAAATCTGTTAACTGACTCAGAGAGAATGAATGACAGTGAATGATGAGAGTCTTGTATAACTCAAGGTGCCAACCATCCTGTCCACCAAGTAGAGAAAAATGTCAACACTGAATTTTTTTTTTTTACACAAACATTATTATTGAGTCAGCAGAATATACAGTACACTGGTGCTGTAGTTGAAGTCCAGGAGAATGCAGAGATAAAATGAAACAAACTTAAATGAATAAATCACTTGGCACTTATCTATGAACATGGTGATAATAAAAGATTTTTATATCCAAGTACAGTACTCATCCTGTGCCAGAGCTCAACACAATGTCCAACATTTGTAACACTTTTCATATATCACAACATATTTCACAATTACTAAAAAATGAACTGTATCAATAAAAAATATGTTGTACTGTATTATATAAATGTGTTGCAAAAATAATCTATTTGTTAACCCCTTCACTATGAGATGCCACTTTTAATGTTTCCTTTGGCTAACATGAAATTATTTTACTCAGCACAGAGGGGAACCCATACACTATCAAACACATTCATTATATCAAATTACATACAGGAAGAGATCAATGTTGAAGCATAATTCCACTTTTTGGTGTGCTTTCAATCAATTCCCACCGAACATTACAGACTGCCCTTATATACACCAATGGCTGAACTCCTACGAAAGGCCAGCATAACTGGTATTGGTACAGACAAATACACCAGTATTCCACAGTAAAGAGTGGGAGGGGGAGGGTTACATTTTCAGCCAAAGTCCTCTTTTGACAATGATTCTGGGCTGTAGCTATTAAATTGTCATTTTTATACACAAGATGGATCTCCTGAAGATTAATCCCTCCTAGCTTATTTCACCTAACCACCCTAATGATACCTGGAAGGATTAGATAAGGATTAGGGTGGTTAATCTTAAGGTGAAATAAGCTGGGGTGGGATATTCTTTAAGCATGCAAATTATGAAAAGATTACCAAGGTGAATACAAATACAGTATGAGGCTACAGTCTTACCTCTACAGTTGGGTTAAAAATATTCTTAGGTGGAGGATGCCACTTGTTGCGTACTGGGACACATTCACAGGGGCGGTTGTCATCTCTCTTGATAAAACACTTCAGATCTTCACACACTATTTGGGATTTTTTCTTGGAGGTATTTACACTATCTTTACTTGGTATAGTCACTTCCCCATCATTAGCTGTCACTTCCCCTGTCTTTTTCTTGGAGGTAATTACACTATCTTTACTTGGTATAGTCACTTCCCCATCATTAGCTGTCACTTCCCCTGTCTTTTTCTTGGAGGTAATTACACTATCTTTACTTGGTATAGTCACTTCCCCATCATTAGCTGTCACTTCCCCTGTCTTTTTCTTGGAGGTATTTACACTATCTTTACTTGGTACAGTCACTTCCCCATCAGTACCTGTCAGTTCATCTGTCTCTTTATCTTGTGAGATGGCCCTTTCCAAAGCCCCAACACTCATCAGAGAACTTTTACAATACATATTTTTACTTTCTTCATTACTGGAAATCACATCTGAATCCTTTCCTGTGATAATTCCTTCAAGACCTTCAAATATAGTTCTTTGTGATGAATGAATTCCTTCCTTACATTTTTCATTCGCCAATTCAATGTTTCTTCCAACGTCAGTCCTATTAATCTCAAGCAAGTCACTGTGTGTGTCACCTGTTTTCATATCACATTCCCTCTCTATACCATTCTCAGGCAGTACTCTAGTAATTCCTTCATCATTCTCATTCTTCTTCACACTATTACTAGTTTTCTCTGACATTTTAGTTCTTTTAATACAACATTGGGCACCACTTGTTGGCTGCCATACAAAATCGGACCTCAAGCGCAAATCTGAGTCCTTCAAGGGATACACCAGTGGTAGGAAAGGAGGGTGGGGATAGCTCTTATGAGGTCGGAAGGGAATACTATTGTGCTGGAGGATTTCCTTGGCTTCACTTGGTAGTAAGAACCAACGTAACTCAGCTGCCTCGTCCCGAAAGATAATAGTATCGTCTGGAACCTGTCGTCTCTGAGATGCCTGAAATAAATGTAAAAAAAAAAAAATAATAATAATAATAATAATAAAAATAATAATGCTCCAGCCATCTATCAACAATGGAAGCCTTTAAAAGACAAAGGTACAGTGCTGTGTGAAGTAGCCACCTTGTATACAGTTCTAACTTATTTTTATCTGAAGAAGCTAAGCATATTATCACCCACAAAACTTACAGCCATCATTGGTGTTTGTATTGCCCTCAACACCCAAGATGAAACATGTGATGCTGAGTATTAATGAAAAGAAAGAAATTTTATAGCATCTGGACAGAGGTGAGATTACTAGCAAACTCCTAGTGGAACAAGGAACTGAACTGTGAGTGAACACCAATGATACCAAATCTCATCAGAAACAGTTGTTTAAGTTCATTTCCAAAAGAGAAAGTTATAAAGCATTTTGTCAACACAAGTAAACAACAACACTACAGTAAAACAATTTTATGTCAGCGTGAAGCAAACAAAGAGTTTACATAAATAATGAAGAGCAAATATTAACTCTAAAGACCAGATGTTCACTACAAGATTCATCATTATCATTGTTTTATGACCATATTTTCACCCTTGCACGTGTTAGCTGCAATTACCTGATGGCAGCTCTCTATGCTGCATGGTCTCTTGCAGTATTTTTCACGTCAGGTTATTAACTCTAATGTCATGTCTTACAACCTTACCCCCATGTCATTCTTGACCTTCCTCTGGCTCTCCTCCCCTCTACATTTTAGTTTGATGCACCTCTTGACCCACTTAGTCTCCTCCAATCTCTCCACATGCCTAAACCTCAAACTTGTCAATACTGTACTCTCAAGCTGCAATTTTAGCTCTTAATAGTTTCCTATCACATTACACATCCATCTCATTATTCTCATTTCAGTCCACTCACACCTGCATGACATCATCTTTAGCTGCCAATGCTACTATGCCACAAATCATCACACTTTGTTCCATGGTTCCTCAAGGGCTCCTGGGGCAAAATTCTAGGTTGATCTATGAAAATTATCAACAGAAACTTACCTTTGCTGCCTGATTCATTATTTCACTGGCTTTCTCTAGGCAATCCATATAGTTCAGTGCATCGCCACAACTGTCCTTATTTTGGTAGGAGAAGACACCTTCAGCATATGATATATTCTGCAGCCACAGCCTCTCACGATACACGAGATTAGTGTGGTGTTTCCATTCACCGGTTTCTGGGTTGAAATTATACTGGGGAAGCAAACGCCACCCATTCTTACACACCTCCTGTACTGCACTCAAGATGAACTCAATCTGTAGAAAAAAAGTGGAAATTCTTAGTCTATTCTATATACTTATAAACATAAGGCATAAACAATGGAATTTAGTGACTTCAGCATTATCAAGACAGATTATAATGAAGAAAAACAACACACACAAAAAGAATAGAGAAATACAACTTAAATATGGAATAAGACAGTGGAACAATGGTAAAACAGAGAAGAGAGAATGAATAATGTGAGAGTCTAAGTTGCTCTTGAGTTTGGTGGGAAAGATCTTGCAGTACTGAAACAATATTGTATTATTAAAAAGTAAAGTTAATATACCTGTTCATCAGAGGCAGAATAAGGAAGGTTGAGACGCACAAAGCCAGGTCTCAACACCTCCACGTCACTGTGTTCGCGTTGTCTACGGAGATGTGACCTATCCAGTCTATTATCCTCCACCAATAGCTTCTCATAACGTTGAGCGAGGACTTCGTCAATTCCCAGGAGATCCTGAGCGTATGGTCCGGCACAGGCACAACCACCACGGGCTTGAATGCCAAACACGTCGTTTAAAACCGCACATATGAAATTATGATGCAGCAGCAGACCAGACTGTGGATGGCGCACCACGAACGACAGAATTGGCAGTCGATTTGGGGAGTCAACATTTCCCAACACTTTTAATTCTGCAACACTCTTCATTAATTCTGAAAGTTTCCTGAAAAAAAAAGGCTTAAATTCCTTAAAAATTTTCCATGTGCCCTTAAAACTGACCAGCATCCAGTACCATTATACCCCCCCAAAGTCATCACTGGTAACATAAAAAATAAGATATTTTAACTCCTAAATCCTCAGCCCCCAGTCATCTCAGCAGTTATATTCACCTTTCAATCTGACCTGTGATGCCTCATTGCCATCCAGAGATCTGAGGGGATGCTGAGAGACAGAGAGAGAGAGTAGAACCTTCATCATTTCTCACACCTACCTGTTCCTCATATCGAAAACCTCACACCCAGACAGTACTCATACCTCAATTACATTACCGTATATAAATAAATGTACAGCAGTGTTCAGAAGTACCTGGAGAGATGTGTATTGCGAGCAGCTATGTAGTCGGGACTGATGGCGTTCTTGAGCTGCATAACCAGACCAGCACGGATGGATTCTACGATGGCTGGCGTTCCTCCCTCCTCGCGTGTTTCCACATCCTATGGTGCAAGTTAATATTTAGGAGACTGTGTGAAGATTTAGCACCCCCCCCCCCAAGCTTATTGAGGGCAGATTAGGTTAGGTTAAGTTAGGTTAAGTTAGGTTAAGTTATATTAGGTTATGTTAGGTTAGATTAATGTAAAGGTGCTTAATCAACAGATGAAACTTTTCAATTCCCAGAGAAGAAAGTTAAATAAGTTTCCTCAAACTTCCAAGGTCCTGCGAAGCATTTAAAAACTTTCCAAATTTTCATGACTTTCAAAATCCTATGGAAAGCCTATAAAAATAAGCACAATGAAATTCTTGCCAAGTATCACCTGTAAATATCGATGTGAATCCCTGGAGACGAAGAACACACTGCCGCCTCCACATACTTCAGGAACTGAATTCTCAAACAAGTTCTTCTTTGCAATCAAAATTCCTGATGAAGAGAACAAATGGAAAAGTTTTTTAATTATATGAAGAATAAGACCCACCAGCATATTACCCATGTAGCTCACCTTCAGGACAATTGAGGTGGGAAGATAAACACAGATGAGTCATTAAGGTAACCACACAGGCTTAGAACTGTATCTTCTTCATCAGTTACCTATTAACAACAACAACGTAGATAACAACACTCAGCACGTACCTGGCGTCTGTACCCCACCGAGGAACTTGTGCATGGAGAAGTAGATGGCGTCTTTATGGGCCTCACCTCTACCATCCCCACTGACTAAAGGATTCATCTTCACATCCACATAAGGAGCTGGAAAGTAAATTTGTGAGTTATGAATTGAAACTTCATACCCATGGGGCCAACTCTCACAATATAAAGGTTGCTCGTTCTACATTATATTCCTACATTACATCTTTCATGGAATTGTTTCTTTTAATCTTTCCCAGTAATCTCCCCATTAGCTGGGTGCAGATCAGTTCAGGGTACAAAATAAGCAAAAAATCCTTTGTAAAATGTCATCACTTCATTAAGGCAGATAAAGATATTAAGGCTCTTACTGTAAAATGAAGTAACAGAAGTAGAAGGAGGATGGGCTGAGTCAGGTATATACTGGAGATGAAGTGTGTGTGTGTGTGTGTGTGTGTGTGTGTGTGTGTGTTTTTTGGTGGTGGTGGGGGGGGGGCCCTGATGTATGATGCTATGAAACAAAATGGAGACATTAAATTGATATCAGGGGGTGGGGAGGACTGACCTTTTTAGTGAAAGTGGGACAATACAGCAAAAAATATCTAGCTAGGTAACAACAGATGCACAAATAAGATTCTACATTACTATTGTGTCCAGTACAATGCACCAGTACATGACCTTAAAAAGTGAGAAAACCTAACCAATGACACTTCCCACCGACCTGCAGTTGCATAATCCCAGAAAGCTAGAGCGCCGTACTTGTGGAGGAGCTTTGTCAACTTCACATCATCCGCCACCACCCCTGTCACGTTACTGGCTGCAGTGAGGCAGCCAATCAGGCGGCAGCTCTCCCCCTCGTGTTGTTTGAGCAACTCCTCCAAGTGCTCACTGTCAATATCACCTTGTCTTGTTTCACGGATCCTCAGCACCTGTTAAGGACGCAAATATTAACACCACACAATAAAATGCCATAGAAACTAACCACACAATAAAATACTCTTAAAATTATCTCATACTATGATAGGCATTTAATAACAGAAAATGTTGGAGTACTGTACAGTACTGCACTGCATGTACAGTATTTCACTTTTTATGTTTTCGTTGTCTTATGATCATTGTTTCCACCTAAAATGTTCAATAGAAACATGTTTTGTTGTATATTACCGCATAAGAAATTTTGGGAAAGTATTATTTTCCACTCGAACATATCTTAGCCTTTATAATAAAAGTCTATGGGAAAATGTGAACCTATTTATAAAAAACAATTTATAAAAGGTTTTTAGAAGCAGAACCCTTTCACAAATCATGCCTGGCCACGGTACTGAACCTGAGTCTCCTGAGTTGGGAGTTGAGAAGGATAACAACTGGGCCACAGTTCCTTCAGGAATGGAAGACAATTAACAATTCAGCAAGACTTACCTTGGCACCAATCTCCCTCCAGGGCAGCAGGGTAGAGTGATGGGCGTAAGGATCCACAAACACAACTGGAGCCCCAGTTAATTTTAATCCATGGATGAGCTTCTGCACGGCAGCAGTTGCACCGCTGCCCACAAACAACACTCTGTCATGTTCTGACGCCTGAGTTGCATTCCGGATGATATCTCGAGCCTCGTGTCTACAATATAACACTTCTTTTATCTTCACACACGACCACTGTTATTCCTTGACATATTTACTTACAGAATTAAGTTTTATGTCTATCTACAAGCACTACTGTACTTTATTCCCGTGCATGATAAATAATTAAGTTTTATTATGTTTATCATTCTCACAATTCATGATAAACAGCAACCTGAGTCCTTAATTTTGTTCAAGATGCAGAACCACTGTTATGCATGACACTACACTACACCACACAATCATCATATCAAAAAGAGCTATTTCTGCGACAGAATTTATTTTCATCTGTACGATAACTTACGGAGAATCAGCAGCAGTGAAAGTACTGCACAGTATATGTAAAAGAATTATCTAGTCTATCAGCAGACATGGAAGAAGATATCATGAAGATTAGGAACCCTTGCTTATGATTAAACACCCTAATACTAAATGGAGAGTTAGGTTAGGTTGACTAAGTTTAAGTTACTTTGGTTAGGGTAGAAGTAGGAGGTTTAATCATGTGCAATAAGCAAGGATTCCTAATTTTCATGAGGTCCAGGGAAGATATAATACAGATATACGTAATACACATTTACATACACATAAAATCCTCACAACCATAATCAACTAAAAGTTCACACTATTCCTCCGCTGTACCTGAAGAGTGTTGTCTGGAGAGCTGTAACAGTAGAGGTTGTGTGTGTTGAGCCATACTGGGGGAGAACCTCACTGCCGATATAGTCTTCGATAAATTTCACAGATCTCCCTGATGCAATATAGTCACAGTAGACAACTGAAAAGACATAGTCATCAGTAAATACAAACAATATTACTGTATTTCAATATTTCAGGCCCTTTTTTGTTACAGTGCCTGGTGGCCAAAACAAAACTAAAGTGCATTAAAAAAGTGTTTTGTCAGTAAGCTCATCATGAACATAAAAAAAAATATTATCTCTTATTTCATCAATACCTCAGTACGTTTCGTTCAAAGTTCACCTCCCCCTTGACAAATTTCTGAGTATGCCACTAACTATAACACAGCACTAACTAACTATAACACAGCACTAACTAACTATAACATAGCACTAACTAACTATAACACAGCACTAACTAACTATAACACAGCACTAACTAACTATAACACAGCACTAACTAACTATAACACAGCACTAACTATAACACAGCACTAACTAACTATAACACAGCACTAACTAACTATAACACAGCACTAACTAACATAACACAGCACTAACTAACTAAAACACAGCACTAACTAACTATAACACAGCAAACACAGCCTAACTAACTAAACACAGCACTAACTAACTAAACACAGCACTAACTAACTATAACACAGCACTAACTAACTATAACACAGCACTAACTAACTATAACACAGCACTAACTAACTAAAACACAGCACTAACTAACTATAACACAGCACTAACTAACTATAACACAGCACTAACTAACTAAAACACAGCACTAACTAACTATAACACAGCACTAACTAACTAAAACACAGCACTAACTAACTATAACACAGCACTAACTAACTATAACACAGCACTAACTAACTATAACACAGCACTAACTAACTAAACACAGCACTAACTAACTAAAACACGCACTAACTAACTAAAAACACAGCACTAACTAACTATAACACAGCGCCTAACTAACTGTAACACAGCACTAACTAACTATAAATAACTAACAAACGCAGCGCTACTAACTAACTAAACTAACTATAACACAGCACTAACTAACAAAACACAGCAAAACTAACACAGCACTAACTAACTAAAACACAGCAACTAACTAACTAACTAACTGTAGCACTAACTAACTAAACACAACTATAACACAGCACTAACTAACCAAAACACAGCACTAACTAACTAACACAGCGGTAACTAACAGCAACTAACAGCACTAACCTATAACACAGCACTAACTAACTATAACACAGCACTAACTAACTGTAACACAGCACTAACTAACTAACACAGCGCTAAACACAGCACTAACTAACTATAACACAGCACTAACTGTAACACAGCACTAACTTCTTTATAACACAGCACTAACTAACTTTACAGCACTAACTAACTATAAATTAACTAACTATAACTTTTGTGATAACTAACTAAAACTAACTAAAACACAGCACTAACTAACTTCACAGCACTAACTAACTGGTACAGCACTAACTAACTATAACACAGCACTAACTAACTAAAACATATTGCGCACTAATAACACAGCATTCAACTAACTGACAACACAGCACTGACATGCTGTTAACACTGGAAACTAATGTTAATTAACTAACTAAACTAACTAAAACACAGCACTAACTGTAACACAGCCAGCTAACTAACTAACTAACACAGCACTAACTAACTAACCAACTAACACAGCGGTAACTAACTATAACACAGCACTAACTAACTAACTAACAGCACTAACTAACTATAACAGTAACTAACTATAACACAGCACTAAACTAACTATAACACGTAATAACTAACAGCACTAACTATACTAATAACACAGCAGTAACTAACTATAACACAGCACTAACTAACTATAACTAACTAAAACACAGCACTAATCAACTAAAAAACACAGCACTAACTAACTATAACACAGCACTAACTAACTGTAACACAGCAGAATCTAACTAACTAACTAACACATGCACTAACTATACCAGCACTAACTAACTATAACACAGCACTAACTAACTATAACACAGCACTAACTAACTATAACACAGCAGTAACTAACTATAACACAGCTAACTAACTACAGCATAACACAGCATTAACTAACTAAATTTAACACATTGATGTAACTATCATAACTAACTGTAACACAGCACCAACTAACTACAGCACTAACTAACAATTATAACACTAACTAACTAACACGCAGCACTAACTAACTTAGCAAACACAGCACTAACTAACTATAACACAGCACTAACTAACTATAACACAGCACTAACTAACTAAAACACAGCACTAACTAACTAAAACACAGCACTAACTAACTAAAACACAGCACTAACTAACTATAACACAGCACTAACTAACTATAACACAGCATTAACTAACTAAAACACAGCACTAACTAACTATAACACAGCACTAACTAACTATAACACAGCACTAACTAACTAAAACACAGCACTAACTAACTAAAACACAGCACTAACTAACTATAACACAGCACTAACTAACTATAACACAGCACTAACTAACTATAACACAGCACTAACTAACTATAACACAGCACTAACATTAAGAAAACAATTAACTCCTCAAGTCACTCACCTCTACGGGGACCAAAAGGTGTGGAGAAGACGGTTGCTGCTCCAATAACATTATCAGACACATAGGCAATAAGGTCCTGGGGGGAGGTGTTGGGCTCCTCCCTCCCCTTCTCCTTCACATCTGATTTCGTAAAGTCGTAAAATTTGCGATGAGCTCCAGGTCTGGCCATATTGTACTGGTGTCACAAACCTTCCTGGAAAGTTAAAAACGATGTGTAACTTGGAATAAGTAACAACGAGACTATTACTACGCCCACACAATTCAGCGCCACTTTCCGCTTTTTACATTCAGGGCGCTTCATCGCTTCATTTCATCAAGAGAAACACTTCTCAGCAACAGTTGTTTGCACACAAAAGTCCAGCAATCTTACAACATTTTTGTACACATGTATTAAAAAAGTTTGTATTATTATTTCAAATTGCCTGAAGAATCTCCAACCCAGTTTATTTCACCTAAGGATCAACCAATTTAATCCTAACCTAACCTAATGCCAACCTAACTATTATAGTTAACTTCAAAGTGTCAGTTATATTTAAGAACAGGTGCCCTCGTTAAAGAGCCGAGTTAGAAAGCTTCAACAGAAAAAAATTCTTCAGTTTATCAAGAACATCTCAAAAAGGCAGAGGAATTTTTTATTTTTATTTTTTGTAAAAGTGGAGGAGACCATTAAACACTATAGTGCGTTTTATCCCAACTGAAAAAAGCTGCCCCGCCTCCTCAAGAGTTACAGCTTATTGGCTGCTGCAAATCTGTCCAATTTCATCCTGAAGTAATGATGTATTTCTAAATGAGTTTATTCGTAATCGTTGGGATGACCGTTTCTGACGAGAAAGATATTTAGCTAAATTATATAGAGATACGTATTTATTATTTCAAACATGAGCACGTAGAAAGTTTATAAAAAATCTTAGGCATGAATTAACTGCTAAACTCTGGTAGCAAATTCATGCTTTCAGAGGACGCACTTAATATATACAGTAAGTATTTTTACCCACAATAAGGTATACTAAGAGAAATTACTTATCAGTAATACTACATTATACAAAAACTAACATTTTAAAATTTAGGAAGGTTTCTTTGGTTAGGTCAGGTTAGGTTAGGTTAGGTCAGGTTAGGTTAGGTTAGGAAGGTTTCTTTGGTTAGGTCAGGTTCTGTTCATTGTCATTTCCATCTTTATTTTCAGTAACATTATAATAATACCTTCAAAATGTGGTTCAATTCTAACAGAGGTCAAACATTATCCTTAACAACTTAACTTACTGTTTAACAACCATGTACCGCTAAAAGGACACTACTGGTGGGTGTGTTAATAATTTATGCACAATCCCCACTAAACGTCTTTAATTACATTGTTGTTGTATAATAAAACTTACAATTAAGTTTATTATAAAAATATTCACTATACAAAGACTACCGAGGTCAAGTGTTATATACTGCTTACAATATGGTGAAGTTTGATTTAAATAATATGTTCAGATTTATTAAGTCTTACACAACAAATATAAAAAATTAAATCATTTTATATAAACTATCATATACCATCTATAATATTATTCTTATATATATTAAGGAACAATTATAGTCGCTGTTACATAACCCGGTAGTGATAAACAGGTTCTCCAACACCCCAGACCATAACACAAGGACCAGAGTGAGACATTATACCTTACCTACAGGTGTTTTATAGTGCAGGCTGCTACTGTTCTTCCATACTTGAATCTTGAACCCTCAATGTGTCTAATGCTGCCAATAAATTATCTAATCTGTCTCCGATGAAACGATTTCCTTAGTCTGTTTCACTCACTGTCCTCAATGAACGGTTCCTTCCTCTTGGTGTTGGTCAACTTTGGGTATAATTTATGACTGTGTCCTCTAGGTCCTCAGTAAGTCACAGAATCACTCTACAGTTGTATAAGTTGCTGAGCGAATTCCAAAATTGTCCGAATCGCAGCAAAAAACATCAGAACACATTAAGCAACAGAAATTGTTACTTACCAAAACATAGTAGAAATAATAGTTCTATCGATTGCGTGTTCTGAATTCCCGGTACTCTGTGCTTGCTTGCTTACTTATACAATATAACCAAACTTAACCTTACCTAACCGCCTAGCCGGGGGCTTTGCCCCTGGACACCCAGACGCTTTGTAATAATCCAGTCGTGTGAATACACACAATTTGAGCAACAGCGTAGGGGCAAAAGGTGCTCTGATTTTATTCTTTTTTTTAAATTCAATAACTTCCTCATTAACAATTTGTGACGGAAGTGTAATACCCTGTATAAGAAAATGATCTTAAAAAAATAGTTCTATCGATTGAGTGTAGTGAATTTCCAGAATTCTGTAGTGGCTGTTAACTGCAATATTACCATTAACCCAATATCTTTCTCTGATGATACTTGTTGCAGCTGTGTCTGAGATCTTTCATAGGTCCTCTGCATATACATTACTGTACTGTATTTACATCTCTCTGGGTGGAATTTAAGCCACTTCTTACTCCATTCTTCTGTCTGTTAAGGTCCGCTTGTACTATATCTTAGTCTTGGCTGCTTTATTGTTTTGGGGAGATCATTTATATGTATTACAAAATGAAGGGGTTCTAAAACTGACCCCTTTGGGATACCCTGTACCCGATGTCATTTAAATTTTACCTTCCTAAAAGCTACTTGTTGCAATTTTGTGCTTGCTACCACACATAATAAATATTTAACACTTTTGAGTTTGGGTAGGCACTCTCTTGCGAGACGCTCGGGGTCTGGCCCGTTACTCACCTCAACACACCACACGAGAGATTACTGTATGTAATGAGTCATAACAAACTTACTACTTCAGATAAAGAGGTGGGATTTGTTGCATTATCATTGTAAATATATTATCTACATACAGTTTTATTAGTCACGATAAAATAATTATTTCTATACGTAAGCGCTAGAGCAAAATTTTTGTTTACGCGTAAGGAAAATGTTTAGAGCTTCATTATTTCATGTGATTGCAATATGAACCTTATTCTGTTATAAAGCGTACATATTTAGGAAAAAAATAGTTATAGAAGAAGTTATGAAAAAATTAATATTTAGCTGGGGAGAGACATCAGGAGGCACCACACTATAACCAGGTGGTACAATCTCCTTGCACTTTTTACATTTTCCCACCCCTCCACCCTCGCCAGCAACACGAGGAATGGTCCAAAACTCTCGCAACACTGTTATCAATAAATGAATCACTGTGTTGCACGAGAAATTGGCACAAGCCGCAAGAAAATGCGGGGCAAGGTTATATCCTGGGTCCTTTAAACACAAAAGGGAGATTGGTGTGGCATCCTAGGAATGCAGTCTACATAGTTGCCAGATCGTGCTGACGTTGCCAAATGTGCGTCTTGTGTGTCTAGCATTCATATGTAAAAAAAAAAAAATTATTTTAATTTTTTACTTCATACAGCCTGTAAATTTGTGTATGTAAACCCTAAAGCGATAATTTCGATCATACACAATTTTGTATATAAAAACCCCAAGAGTGTTAATAACTTTATGTGTTTTGACCTTATGATAATTACACAGTATTATTATTATTATTTTTTGCACATTGTATATGAATGATTGTGTACAAGTAACAAAAAAAATTTAATTTCATATATCTTCCCGAAAATACAAGTTCATAAATAACAATAACGCAGGTCACAGCATGGGTGGAGGCTGAGATATTGTACAGTGCACCCTCTTCCTGGGAGGGAGAGCACTAGGGGGATGTGGATGCCCCAGCTGACTCCCGATGGCGCACGATTTGAATATTTGCCGGGACCCAAATTCATATAAATGGGAAGAGCTTTCGTAACACGAAACAGCGGTGTCGATTTGGGAAAATCGTATAAGCGAGTTTTGGTACTTGTCAATCAGGGTGCAACCAAACTTGAATGTGGTTGAGGAGAAGGATAATCATAGTCATCAGTTTTTCATATAACTTTAAATCTTAAAATACAATACAAACACATAAAAACTCTTTTAAGCTAAAGTATGGAACAGACTTAGCTCTTTCTCTCCCCCTTTTTGCTGCTGTTCTTCTTCTTGCGTGAGTGATGCCTGAACACGGTCTTCTGTTTAGACGCTATTATTTCGTTGTATTTACGCTTTTGGTACCTGAAAATTATTAAAGTACATAAATCATTTATGTGAATTTTTAAAATTTATGATAAAGGTAATTTTGTATTAGCAAGAAAGAGGAGGAGGGGAATGAAATGGGGAGAGAGAAAAAGGAAATGGAGAATAGGAAAAAGACTGTAAGAGTAGAAAAGAGAGCAAAAAATGGGAACAAAGGAAAGGGGTAGGGTGAAAAAATAGGGAAAGGAAAGATATGAGAAGAAATGGAAATGGTGAGAAATGAAAAGGATGAAGGAGAAAATGGAAGGGGAATAGGGAAATTTAGCTTTCACTCTGAGACTTAAATTGTGGAGTGTTTCCTCTTTTTTTCCCACCTCCTCCCTCTACCTTCCAAACCATTTCTCTCTTTGCATCCCCTACACCTATCATCTCCCTGTAGCCAACCATCTTCTTTGTCTCTTCACAAATACACCATATCTTACCATTCCCATTCTTACTCACAAAGAGATACAGTAATACTTGCTTTCTTTTTTCACTTACCGCAGAGCTTCTTCGTCGTGAATAATTTCTTCAGCTAGGGATCGTTTCCTATCCTTCTTTGGAACACGGGAAGAGTAGAACTCAACTGGATTATCCAACACACGTCCAAGCTGGAAATACTTAGGCAGCACCTATGGAGAGGTGTTGTATTAAATTTTGATTTGAATAAAAAAGAAATAAAATAAAAATTATTAATATACTACATAAAATTGTCTATTGTTGGTATAAAAAAACCCACATTAATTGTACTTCCCATACCCTCCACAACCAAAAATTGTGAAAGGTACAAAATTAATACTTGGGTAATAAAAAGGGTTGTTACAAGACCCTATACAGCAGTAGGGAGGGAGGGATCACCGAGCACCAGACCACACCGAGTAAACAGGTCCCTCCCCAGGACCACCTACACCCCTGATTCCCTACTATCCTGTACCATATCACAGGCTTTTCATCATGTCTTCCAGGTGTTCCATTGAATAAGACAACACATAGTATGTAAAGATATGGGAGAGAAAAAAATACATTCTTTAAACTCAATTTATCAGAGACTAAGAGTTGGGGAAATGGATTGCTCTGAAACCAACTTTATTTCCCTATTTAGCTATTAAGAATTTTGAGGATGACTGAAGGGGTGCAGGAAACTAACATAGTGAACAAGCCAGTCACCACTGTATATTATTAAAACTAAATAATTAAAATGGCAGCAATGTCGTAAAATTTTGTAAGTTCAGTTCCACTATACCAAAAGGTCTAACCATTCCCACCTGCTTTACCATTTTCCCTCCAACTTCATTTTGAACTTTGTTACTAAAGAAGGTTCAACCAAGCTTACCTTCATATCTCTGTTTTTGTAATGTTTTTTAGGATCAAGAACCGAGCGCATCTGTAGCACTTCCAGGTCCCGTTTGACTTCCTCTGTCAACTCCGGAGCCTTCATGTCATACCAGCCAGGACCCTTTGTCTTCTCAAGCTCTTTCTGGAAGTTAAAGATTATTTCACTTACCCACTAAATAATACAGGTAGTAATAAAATAAATATATAAACATTTTAATTCCTGTCTTTAACTTCTGCAGTGATTAGGATAAAAACACCAAATTTTCTTATCAACTAACAGTAAACAACATCTCAGTTTTAAAGTAAATTTGAATATTTTTCTAAGTGCCAAAAAAAAAAATTCATTGAACAAAGGATGGATACTGTGATATGACACAGGCAAAAGAGGACAGAAAGTTTCCCTGCTGAAGTGGATGCATCCTCCTCTAATGTGTACAAGTAGAATGTAAGCCTGGATAAGAAACCTCACCAACAAGCAAGAGATTTTTCAATAAGACAAATGTGAGAAAGTAAAACTAAATTAAAGAAGGTGAAAGCATGTGGCTCTGCTCTATAAAATCCCCACAATGATAATAAATGAGAAAAGAAAAAAGGTACCAGTACTGTATGTGTATTATTTAATTATTTAAAATACATTATGTAAATATGACAGTGGAGACAAACTGATGCTTTGATAATCAGTTGAACCCATGGCCCGAAGAGCAAAGAAATGTATGAAAGAGAATGAAAAACATGCAAACCTGGCAAGGGGTGTTTCTTCCATGAATACAAACCCATTTCTTCTATGATGCTTGTATCTAGAGGACAACCAAAAGTCTGGAGTAGTGATACCACTCTCATATCTTTATCTTTCTTCTCATTTTTGGATAAGACACCGAAGATATTCTGAAAATGTCTGAAACTAAACCAACACACGCTTAAACTGACCCTGCGTAGGTTCTTGGCTTTTTTCTTGCCAATAATATATGGAGTCAGGTGGGTCTGTTGCATGAACTCCGGCTTCAACACTGTAGACGTCTTGAGGATCTTCTGTATACCATCCTCACTTTCTATCTTCACATTTTTATCCTCTTCTGTTCTTAACTGATCAGTTGGCTGGTACCTGAAAGAGATGATAATTTACTTGATACTGTACCCAGACAATAAAATGATAGTTACACATTTTCTTTAATTGGTCAACTGTGCATAGTAAGATGATGCAATACTGTATGTTTCCTTGTGTAGTTCTTGTGAAGGATATTGCTCAGCTTACATTAGGGAAAGTAAAGGCACGGGGTACTACAAGTTAATGAAAATGATGAAGCACCGATTTAGAATGTTATGGAATTATGGGGTGTTGTACTCATCATATATATCATCAGGGTTTATAATTGTGGAAGGAGCGACGTAAAACACAGGAAATGAGTCATAAAGTTAACCACAATAATGAAATCTGGCTGTTTATAATGACCTCAATGTTACTGGTGAATGCTGGCATATCACCTCCTGTTCAATCATTCCCTTACTCTACTATGTACAGTACTTGGAAACTTTGTCACCAAACATAAACAATGACCAGAAATGGTGACAGGTCTCCAGATGATAGACTTGCCAACTTCACAACATCTTAAATACTCAGGACATAAACAAGATTAACTCTAATTATTTGATTATTATGGAGGTCACTGCAGCACTAAGCATTTACTTGATACTTCAATTTATACTACTAAGAGATGTTAAGTAAACTACTGTACTGTTTCATAAAATGTGTGAATATACCATCTCGCCAATACAAGAGGTTACTGAGTATCTGGTTGCCAGTACTGACCTAATAGTGTCTTACATTATTCAACTGTCCCTTTGTGGCAGAACAGGGAGGATAAGTCAATGTTACAACAGTCAGATACTAAATGACAGCAAATGAAGATAATGTTTTTGCTCTTGATTCCAGCAACATAGTAAAAAAAAAAAAAAAGCTTCCAAAACTAGAGACATAAATCTCAACCAAAACTCTGTGTACAAACACAATCTCCTTTACTGATGAGCTCCTCCTTCCTCTTACAACACACTACCAAATATTACTTACTGTTTCTTAAACCTCGGGGCAATCATCTTATCTGTAGAACCTTTATTCTTCTTTGGAGGTGCCTCTTTGACTTTTACTTGTTGGACAGATAGTATTATTTTATGACCAATTAAAGCTTGTAATACAGGCTCCCAGTCACTTCCATCTTCCTTTGGAGCATCACCCTTACCTGGGATAGAATAATAGTAAGTACTGAACCCCTTCACGAGAGGGATGCCACTTTTACTATTTCATTTGGCCAATGCCAGATGATTTTATTCAGCTCAGAGGTGACCCTGTACAGTATACAAGGGGTTAAACATAAAAAAGGTGTTTATCCATTTTTAACAAACTTTTGGAAATTAAATTTTCTTAGTTCGGAATTTCTACTAATTATCACTTCTGTACTTATAAAAGACTGGTAAAACCATATGCTTAATTATTACATTTAATTGATGCTCAAACATATGTATACATACAAAGCATTATACAGTACTGTACATCCCTCTTGTAATACAGAATTATTCACAAAAAAATTTCTAAAGTTATTAAATCTAACCCAGATGTTAAACTTGCTCACAAATATAAGCAACAGACTTCAAAATACTTCTAGCAGGAGTCACTGCATCTTACCATATCACCCTAGTCTAGAGGTATGAATATATATATACCTGTATTTTTTTTATTCTCTCCCATAGTTCTTAAACACCTTCCATTTTCCTCAGAGAATATGCATTCTGGTAACAATTATATGAATAACCCTGTAAAAAATTTCTTAAGAGTTGTCTAAAAACTCCCAAATTAAATGTTCACTTAGCATCCACCACTAATCAAATTGAAATATGCATTTAATACCTTTATCCAGTTGCTTCTCCATGGTGTTAATATTTAAGAAAAACTGCCTGCGCTCTTTATTGGCAGTGTGTGAGAGCATCAGTTCTTCTTTAAACAGAGACACAAGGGCAGGCTTACAGACAGCTGCATCATCATCTTCTTCCAAATTTTGTTCTACGTTCTCGACCAGAACAGTTTTGCTCTGATGATCAGGAGAGGATGGTTCATTCTGGGGATAATGGCCGAGTTGATGATTCAAAACAAGAAGTTAATCTTCTGCAAAATTCTTGCCATAATGCATAAGACTGAGATTTCACGATTCTTTTAATATTAATGAATAGCTGTTGTTGCTTAATATGAACTATTAAGAATCAATTTAGTGTGCACTATGATCTTTTATACAGCACTGTAAATCAATGTGGTATCCTACAGTCATTATATATCATTTATGCATGTTGAAGTTATGACTCTTTTTCATGCCTTTTCCCCGCTATCATGTAAGGTGGCAAGAAACAGAGAAAATACAAATTTTTCTTATTTGCAGTACTGCCATTTGTTTAGGTTTACTAATACAGTGTAACAAATATTAGGGAAGGCATTCTCCATTCACAACAGTGACCCAAACATCTATCTTTCCCTAAAAATGACTGGCTAGCAGGTTTAAACACTTACACCAAACACTGTGAGTAAGGGAGGTGACAGATGGTGTGAAAAAAAGATGCAGAAATAAGATGTATTTTGAGAACTGGGTAGAAGAGATTGTTAGTGTGTTAAACCAGAAGTGGATGACAATAGTAACACAGACGTGTACATGTAAGTGGAAGTGTGAATTCTCTAATTATACGTAGTAAATTGTTATAAAGTACTGTACAGTACTGTACTGGTAACAAGAAAGTTTGAATCAACTTTGGTGCACTTGTTCCTGCCTATTTACTTAAGAATGAAACAATTAGATAAATGAATAATTGCTACAAAATTTATTGCTCTAAATGATAAGAAATTGTACACACAAAAGTGAAAGTAGATCTCATAGGCATGACTGCCCGTTATGGACAGTGTGGCTATAGCACACTGTATACTAAGCCTTTGGTACGCAAAGAAGCAGCATGTCTGGTACTGCACTCGACCGCATCCACTTCACGGGAGTGCCCAGTGTAATTGAACCACCACCCCCTGGAGCAGGAGGCAAGTGCTGTATCCACTCCACTGCTGCACTCCTTGTACACACACACATACAAAAGTAAAAATCTTTACCTTTTCAAGTAGGTCTCTTATAGTCATATTGAGTTCCCTAAATATTTGAGCATGTTTGGGTTCTAGTTCTCTCTCAGCTCTAGTGAAGAGTCCTCCTGTCTTCAAAGGATCACCCTGGTACTTTTCAAACTGGATATAAGCCAACCACAAACCTGTATATTGTAAGAGCATATTTGAGTATTTATCTTATAATGTAATTAATGATTTTCTTACAAATTCTAAGTAATAATATCAAGGGGAGACAATTCTCAGTTCCCTCCACAACAGCTTGGAGTTCTCTGTAAAACCTAAAGACAACTTTTCTCCCCATCTTTCATCTGCTCTTTATTTTCTTTCTAACATCTCTGTACCCCATCCTTCTTATATCAATGAAAGCTTGTAAATGGCACTAGTATGCTCTTCTCCTTAATCAGCAATTAACATCTTTCTCTTTGCTTTCCATTCCTATGCTCTTGTACCCACACACATTAGCTTTACCTTTTAAGGCTGCATCCTTCAACCATTCCCATTCTCCTTTAACCCCTCCTCTTCACCCCCATGACATTAGAAGACATTTGTCTCCGAGAAGTTTTTCATATAATTTCATGAAGTGAGTCAACCAAATACGGAAAATAAATGTAATCTCAAAATAACACTACAGTACTGCCACTAAAATTTCCCTCCTATTTCAAGTGATAGCTTTTAACTGAAATTACAGGTGAAATTTAGTAGCATTGACTCACCTGGGTGGATAGTTCCATGTTGCTGAATTGCATTGTTGAAGACCAGCCTGACTTTTTCAGCATCAACTTCAACTTGTGACAACTCCAGCTCCACCATCTGGGCATGTAGTTTGGCAGCAAATGGTGGTTTCCAACTTAACTTGTTGTACAACTTGCGAGTTCCCTTAATACCTAGAATTCAAATAATTCATAACGTAAAATACATTTCCTTCAAGGGAACCCAAAAGTCAAGCAACAAACCTGAATCACAACTCCTACTTTTAATGCATCTTAAAACAACTATACTACACATACATGTACCCACCTTTCTGGAGGCCAGTCTGTTTCAGATGCTGGATCCTCATTCCTCGTGCCATTGTAGCATCTTCATGATCAGCTGCCTGGATAAACATCTTGGTCCTCAGGGTGTCATTTGTCACATGGATGGTTATTTCCAACAATGCCTGGAGACCACAGTCTCCCTTCATGGAAGTAAGCACTTTGCCAAATTCTGTCAATAAAAATTTAAACATCAACCAGATAGGCTACAATTTTGGTCCATGTTATTCATATCTGGTGTAACCTAATTTTCAGCACAAAGAAACCTCACAAGTATGCAAGGATTTTTTTTCATTTTTGGAAATACTCTGTACAACAATGCCTTGATACTGATGAAATTTCACATATACAAGAAAAATGATCTATATTCAGTGCTGGGTATTTGCAAATAGACAAAAACCACTGGAATATGATCTCTATTTTCTAAAAAAAAATATTTTTACTTCCAGTTAAAACTCTTGAACAGAAAGATAAGAATATTGTACAGTAAACAATAATGCAAGGAAAGTTTGTCTCAAACAAAGATCGAGGTACTGGCGAATTTGTATTTCACAAATCGTCTAGATTCCGCTGTACTGCATAAGGACATGGTATTGGAATATTAGGCAGCAAAATATGTTGAATGTTTTTAATTACCTTTCAAAAGTCGTGCTTCATCAGTTTCCTCTCTCATAATAAGCCGCACAAGTTCCAACTGCAAATATGCTGCCTCTGGGTGACATGTTACAGCCTCCTCCAGAACAGTCTGCATCTCACTGGTGGGCCATGACTGCTCACACAACACCTTATACTGAGGAATAAAACAAATTTAAGGGTAGATGAAAGCTTCCATTGGGCATTAATTTTGTCCTTACACAATGTGTATAAAAACAAATTCCTTCCATCCTGTTCCATTAATCTCATACGTTATTATGATCCTATTTTCCTTCTAGAAGTTTGTCTTTGTACTGTATTAAATTGAAAGCAAAATCTTTAGCATATATTTTTCTTTCACAGAACTGTTTTCTAACAATGTCACAATGCATTATTCTCATTCACACGGCATCAAAATTCATTTCCGGTATTCTCTCATATTATTTAAATGCTCAAGAAAAAATAAGCACACTCTACCATTATCTTTCATAGTTTCAGTGACTCTTATTCTTTAAATCTATGGTTATAGCCTAATAACACCATTGAAGGACTTGTAGTACGTATATGAAATCCCCCATATTATTCCTTATACTGTACTGTAGTAAGTTATTTCTTACCCAAACAAAAAAACACAGTGGAGATAATGAAGCTGTGTGTGCCTCCATCAACATCAACAGCTTCTTGAAAATCAGGTCAGTCATGGCTTCCAAACCCCAACACTGGTACAGTAGAGGCAGTAACTCACTAATGTAGGTCTTCACAAAGCTTTTCCCAATTACTCTTGCAGCTTCATCAAAGGTAGAGATGACGCACTCCAACTAGTGAGGAAAATTTTTTATTAAGCTTCCTTCAGTAAATTATTATACAGGTTGACAATCCCTTACCCGAAACCCTTGGGGCCAGAGACATTTCGGATTTCGGTGGAGAAAAAAATTTCTCCACAAAAAACTTTCGGTTTTCAGAGCTTTTCGGTTTTCGGAATTTCGGATAAAGGGTTGTCAACCTGTATCAACATATCATACGGCTGTCTCACCTAAACTGTTAAATTCATAGAATCAATCATTCCAGAAAGTGATAATTATCCTATCCATTTATCTATCTACCCAACCATTACTACTGAGAGGTTTTCTTTTTCGGTGACTTTTCCTTCCACTTGAATTATAAAGAATATAACTCAAAGAATACTAATGGGGTAAGGAGTTGATCCTTAATCCCCGGCCAAGGATCGCCAAATATGCAAAACAACTGGAACACAAAGAAAATGAAACTTCCACAGATGACCTAAAATGGCTAAGACACTAAGTACAAATACCCAAACACCGCTGCTGCTCATATGCATAAAACACAAGTGAATTTTAACATTCTGTGCATACCAAGTTACCGTGAACCAGGTTTATTCAGCTTACAACTACAGGGCTCCCCCACCCTAGTTCACGGATTTTTATTTCGCGGTCCTCTATCATTCACGGATAACACCCTGGATGTACCCATGAATGTCTGTGGGTAGTTTTAAAGTTGCCGGCATTTTTGCGGCTGGGACAGGGAGCCATTTGTTCTAGAGACAGTAATTTCCTTGACCTGTCTTGTAAATATATGTGTGTAGACACACACACACACACACACAAAACACACAAATAAATATTAATTGGAAGATTCTCTCACAAATAATCAGAAACAAATTTATTAAAAATGTGACAGTCTACCCTAAAGTCCGTGCTTTACTAGTACTTTATTAATAAAGTACGGACTTGAGAGTAGACTCATATTTTTAGTAAATTTGGTTTCTGATTATTTGTGAAATATTTTCCCATTATTATTCATTTATATGTGTTTTGTGTGTGTGTGTGTGTCTACACACACACACACACACACACACACAAATATACAATATAGGTAATATAAATAATTGTCCTAAGGGCAATCACATACTAAAGGGAGTTTACATTTCTTTGTACATAAGTAAAAATGTAACCCCTGATCCGCAAATGTTATTTGAGACCATTTTGAGAACCTAATCCCCGCAAATTTGGGGGCCCCCTGTATTATGGATAAAGCAACATTACTTGACAATCCACAACCATTCATTATCTAAGGTAACATCACTGGTCTATCAATTTTTGTCTTATCTTATTATATACAGAAATGGTCCTCAATTATAACCTCAAATTGATTCTAATTCTTAGACTGTTTTACAAAATTTATTTAGGCCTATATAAAAAATCTACACCCAAGTCGGCCTCCATCCTTTAATCCAAACCACTGATTTCTATTTCATGAAAAAATTTGAGAAATACACTAACCTTTTTCATTGACCCCATCTCTGTTGGTGGGTTAGAGACAACATCTGTAGCTTTACTTTCTACTATATCTTCCTCTTTCTTGATAACCTGTTCTTCTAGTAAAACTTTCACTTTAATATCTTCACCTTCTGCTTCTTCACTATTTTTATTATCTTTCTCATTATCCCCACTTTCTAAACTGGCTTCATTGTTTTCTTCACCTTCTATTTCCTCATTCTCATTTTCAGAATCACTTTCTTGGCCACTATCTGTCTCTTCTTCTTTCACGTCCACACCTTCTTTGCCATCACTGTCTTCACCAACTCCTTCTTTTAGTGAATTAATATTTTCTTCATGTTTCACTACTATCAAACCCAGTGTCAGCCTCTGTGCCTTCAGTTTCCAAACACAAGCAGCATCAGGGAACTTAATAGAAAGATCTCTGAAAGAATATATAACAGATTCTGAGCCAACTACGGTATTATCAATTATTCAATGGATGAGGAATTTGTAACAACTATTCTTAAAGTTCAAACAACTGTTATATTTGAAGCTTATTTTATCTCTGAAAAGGCAAAAGCTGTATGATATGAAGTATATAAAAACAAAACCTATGTAAAATCACAGGTGCTCTGCCTCAGTTAAGTTAAATATTACAAAATATTTATGTTATCAAATGCATTATTTGTAAGTCCTATGTGTTTGGATATACTGGAGCATTTTAGGTAATTAAACAGAGGTGCCATCTTAAGTTTAGTTTCCTCGGTGACGGGTGAACCATTTACAGCTCAGACAACTCTTCTGATTCTTAGCATTCAGCAGCTAATGGGTTATGCCACTCCCTTTATGCTGCCAGTCCATTGAAAAGTAAATCCATTATCATTAAAACAACCGATTGTGTTTACATTCACAATTAAATGCATAAATGCAGAAGTAAGGAACCAAATTTTCCACCCTGCCTGGAAATAGAACCCATGACTATTCACCTGCAATGAATATGATCTACCAACTAGGCTAAAAAGCCACTGCCAAACATTGTCAAAATAGGATCACAGGATACATGAATACACTTAATATGTATTGAAATTTGTTGTCTACATATGTGATGTAAAACTCCCCAAAGAGAAGACTAATTGGCACAGCTCTTGTAGCAGACAACCCATGAGTGATTTGCCCTCTATAGCATAGCTAATAATCCCCTCATCAACCAAGCCTAGACCAGGACTACAGCCGAACCTTAATGGTTTGTGTGGGCACATGGTTCCTAAAAAGATATTATTATAAATAACAGATATTTATGAAAGATAAATACACTATATTCTAAGGTTTTGAAATAAAATCGAGCTTACCTGTATATTTCATCCCGCAGTGGGTGTGCAAAGTCAAACTTATCTGCTACTTGGTAGAGTTGCACATACAGTTCTGGATTTGGGAGTTTGCTGACAGCATCTTGGTATACTGCCCTGGCAACTGCACAATTCAATACCTATTTACAGAATCAGTGGAAAAGGAAATTAATTAACTTCAACACCAAATACTGAATTTCTTTAAGGCCAATTCCTGTTAGCTAGCAACCTGTGAATTACTGGGATAGCCATGTGGGAAAAAGAAAAAAGAGTAATACACCTACTGTATGTTTTTTGTCCCAAGTTACTCTGTCACTGCAAACTCAAGTTCCTATGAAGGTAACTAAGTAACATTGGGTTCAATACATTATCCAAAGGTTTAATTATGGACTTTTAAAGAAGCAATTTGCCTTGTCACCCAGATACAAGGCATTCAATATGTTCTTCACAAGCTGTCTGATTTTATAGTCAAAATTTGTTCTCTAAGCCTTAAGGAAAAAATTCAAAACAGATTCTCATGTGTACTGCCTAACCTTTTCACGGTTCTCTGCCACAATTTCCTCCAAGCCAGCAATGTTGTCATTCTTCATCTTATTCTTCAGTGATTCAACATACAACAGCTCTAGTCGAAATAACTGAAATAAAAATAAATTAGCTTTAAGAAAAAACGACTGAAACAAAAAATCTTACTTCAATTTATACAACAACATTTCCAATAGTCAAAAGTTTACATAAAGTGAAATGTGAGAATGATTCTGAAATTCCATTTTATAACCAAGAGGTGAACCATTAGCTTGTGATAACAACAGCTACCTAAGAATCAAGTTATAAGAAACTTTGTGATGCTCTGGCAATAGCAGTGTACAGTACATTATTGTTGTGCATGGCGTAATGTACAGTGGTGCGTTGCTTGTGCATAGAGAAATTTTTTTATGCTCATTACTTATGTATGGAAAATATTTTGAATAGTTATGTGTGAGCAGGGCTGGCACTTGATACCTATGTATGTATGTACAGGGTATGTATGTATGTTTAACTATTTTTGCAGCTGAATGTGGGAGTTGTTTTATATTAGTGCTGTTAGGCTTGTAGTCCCCAGGGCTACTGGGCTTTGTCAGTCACTGGCTGGCCTTGGAAGTGGGAGGATGTGCGAGTTTGTCAGTGGTGGATACCTTCTCAAATAGGGTTTAGTTCAATACTATATATTCAGTGCTGCTCTATTATTACTTATTGTGGTGTTGTAAAGCAGTTTATGGTTTATTTACTGTGCACATATTAGTTGTACATTAAGGATTATGTTTATTGAACCCATGAGGCACAATTTTGTCCTCAATTGTGTTTGTAACTTTTGCATTTAACATTGTTTGTCGTGTATTGAAGTAACATTAATTTTAAGAGATAAATATTAAGGACTAAGTTATGCTGAGTTGCCAATTTGTTTTTTGTTGTGCCATATGTGCCCTCATTATTATACTGATCTTTAACATAAATGAAGTTACTAAGTTATGGCATAACAGTATATACAGCCTGAATAAACTACCCTCCATCCTGGTTCTAGACTTACAAAAGAATAACAATGATATGACCTTCATAATCTTCAGTGTCTAGGGGAATTCAGATAAAGCTACAGTAAATCCCATATCTTAAATAAGTTACATGTACAATCAAAGTTGTGTCCGAAGATTAAATATAACTCGTGAAACATTATGAGAGCCCTACCACAAGGCAGAGCGCACCAAAAGTTTAGCCCTTCGGCATATGTTTTCACCAAATTTCACGACACGACTTTTGGCTTTCATTGTACATCATAAAATAAATTGCACATGATTGTCAACAAAATAACTTTGTCATAAAAACAGATATGCTCAAGAGAGCATTAGAGTGATTTTTCTTACCTCTCTTTTAATCAGGACTGAGTTTGGGTGATAGAGAGTAGCTTTAGAAAGAAGGATCGTCCTTGCTTTATCAAAATTGTGTCTTTCTTCTACTTCCCACTTGGTCCAAGCAACCCAGACACTTTCCTGATTACCATGATAATTAATTTGCTCTGTGAAGGCAACACCAATCTGAAATATCATTTAATAATTGATGTTTTCCACTCCAACTTTAAAACCAAATTAAACTAGAGATGCACATAACCTGTATACAGTACTGTATATATCCCAATAAATGAAGAAGTCATTCATGCATACTGTACTGAGGTAACTCACCAAGAAACATACACAAACATCACAAAAGAACACACACTATAACCTAGGAACAGAGGGGCAACACCCTATCCTCTCCAAACTGAAAATCCTTATACCTGTATTTTGCAGAGTTAATTATATTTCTATATTTTTTTCTTCATCATATTACTCTGTCCAAGGTCAGTTCCAAGGAGTAGGAAGACTGAGCTGGAGATGTGCTACTTTATGTAGTAACAATAAAGTCTACTGTTAATCAAATACAACTATTTTTATCATGCAGGACCTGTCAGCTTATTCATATTGATTAAACTGGCATCAAAACTTATATCAGCCAAATTTGTAAACAAATCACAGTACAATATAAATGTACAAAACCATTATTACATGTCGTAAACCTGTAATGCCTATCATTAAACCATAGTGTTCAGCTTAAAATAAGACTTCAAAATCTAGTCATCAATACTAACCAATAAAAGTAATGTTTCACCTACCTCATGTTTCCAGCCAATAAACTGAGCAAAACTAATTCTAAGTCGCCAAGTATCGAGGTGTGAAGGCCAAATACGTGACATGTACCGCAGCTGTTTCATAACCCGAAGACCTATAGCATTTTCAATTTGCTGGCGTTTCTCACGTATCCCAATTTGCTGTAACAATAAGTAGTTGTAATCAGAGGAGTTATACAATGAAATATATAGAGGGGGTTCCCAGCTATTACAGTATCATACTTATGCACTCCTGAAAAGTGCAAATTTAAATGAATAATACTCATGAAATCAATTTTCCCATAAGAAATAATGTAATCAGGGAATTTAAATTCCCGGGAAAAATTGTGACCATATAAAAACTAATAATAAATAAATAAAAAGTAATAAATACATATACACTGTACAGTAAAGTATATGAAATAAAAAATACAGTATAAAACAAGTGAGAGGTGTAAGCATATCCTCCTCCTCATGGCTGTTTGAACTGACCAACATGACCACCTGGCAACAATTACCACCATCTTGATCTACTCTTGTTTTATCACAATTAACATTAAAACAATAAGCATGTAATAAATGTATGAATGCATAAAGGCATTACAGAAACTCTGGTAATAGCTGATATACAGTAATGTACTGAGATATACAGTATGTGCATTCTCCCTCTCACAGCCATGGCCAACTGAATTGCCTCTGCATATAGTTTAAATTTTTTCTTTTGATAACATTACAAAAATACAACATTCCATATTCTCTATTAACTGACTATGGGACCTACTCATATTCCTTGTATTAAGGGGTGTAATAAATTGAGCACTGGCCCGATTTTTTTTTGGCAATAGCTACCCTGAATACTTATCATGGTGAGAGGCAAGCCTAAAGCCTAATACTATCAAGCAACAAATTATCTTAAAACCTCTAATTTGGTACCCAAGGTACAGTAAGTATTTTCTTGGCTTTTTGTGCTAGGCACTAGACTGCCAACTGCTGATAATATTTGGAGGCATGATGTTGAGGTAGATTGACCATACTCATCGAGGCAGGAACACTTCTTGGGTCCTTCACAACCCATACAACAAAAAGTACTGTAGTTCTGCAGTAGCTGACAACAGTCATTAAAGATACCTTCCATAATTCATTGACAACTTAATCACAAAACAATGATAGATGGGGAGACAATAAGTGAGGACATACAGTACTATGTCAGGATACTTTTGTATTTAATATGACCAAATAAAATAAAATGAACACTTATCAAGAAATACAGCTAGCTGAACATACCGGTAATACTGTACTGTACAGGGTATTGTATTATAAAATGATAACTTTTCCAGTACTTACCTTTCTTCTGATTCTAATCAATTCAATGAGTTTTTGTTCAAAATCAACGTAGTTCATGAAATCAATTTTATTCTTTGATCTTCGGGCAAGGCGATAATGGAAATCCCTCCTCTTCTGTATCAACTTCCTGTAGTGAAATGGAGGAGTTAAAATTAAATCTAATCTTATACAGTAGTAGGTACAGTAGTAAGTGTGAATCAGATGACTGACATACAGTACTGTAGTGCATGTTTAACCCTAGGGTTCTCACGCACCTCCATTAGAAAACTAGAGAAATCTCTCCTGGTTTAACCGCATTCCCGATATATAAACAGTAAGTAGGTGGCACTGCAGCAGTAATGAACAGGATCAAGAGCTGTGAATCTATGCTGCTACACCACTGCACATGAGCCTCATGACTGAAGCAGGCTACAAAAAAACCTTCAAGCTCAATTGACCAACTGATCCCTTCTCCTCAGCATCCCTAGTGAGATGTGGATCCGAGTCACCCAGTTTGATGGGTAAAATTGCAGATTACAGTAACCAAAGAATCTGATAAAAAATTTGTTTTTCTGATGGTTTTTGATGCGAGTGGTTCAAATTTGACTATCGTTTTTATCGGAAAGCTATGTAATAACCCAAGAGTCACGTGGTCAGCCTCCACGAGAATATAAATAGCCACTACAGTATTTCTTACCTTACTCCAAGTTAGGGACCATAATGCGCCGTGGGTTCCTCTGTTCTCTAAAGTTTCCTCATTTTTAAAATGAAATACTGTAATAAAATAAACTTCCAATAATCAAAATCGCACCCAGCACATAATGGCTCCATGTTGTAACTGATTAAAAATGTCCCGCATCCTACCACCCATGCCGAATATTGAATGCTAATTGGTTGAATCAAATGTTGAGATTTTTTATTGGATTTGATTGGTTGCCCCCCCCCCCAGATTTGATTGGCTGCGGCCCTCCCCGATTTGATTGGCGGCAGCCCCCCAGCACATGCGCGGGAGGTAAGCAAAAGTACGAACACACACAATTTGAGCAACAGCGTAGGGGCAAAAGGTGCTCTGATTTTTTTTCTTTTTAAAATTCAATAACTTCCTCATTAACAATTTGTTACAGAAATGTAATACCCTGTATAAGAAAATGATCTTAAAAAAATAGTTCTATCGATTGAGTGTAGTGAACTTCCAGGATTCTGTGGTGGCTGTAAACTGAAATACAGTAATACCCCGCTTTACGCGGGTTTTTTTTTACGCGTTTCTACATTTACGCGGTACCCCGCCAGAACCGGAATGTTCACTTTACGCGGTGCATCTACTCACATATGCGGGAAGCGGCGCGGGCAGGGTGCGCACAAGGTCGCCCAGTCATCAAAAATATAACCGAGTTCTTCGCCCGCCACAGCCGGCCCAAGTCAGTGATAGTGAGGATATGGACTTATATGGACTTTGAGGGGTTTGACAAAGAGGCCCTGCAAGCCTCTGTGGTGGATAGTGATACAATTGATACAAGTGATACAGGTGAGGGCTAATAATCTGCCCTCTGCCTCAGAACCAACCCCCCCATCCCTGTGTGCCCAGCCATCTTTTCGACTAATGTTAAGTGTTAAAAAAGTTATTTTTACTACAACGTAGGTATTGTGTCTGAAAAAGTGGAGTTTGGGGGTTGGCCCAGTCTCTATTTCAATTAATCCCATATGTTCTGTTGTTCACTTTACGCATTTCCCGCTTTACGCGGGCCTCAGTGGGTTCAATTGACCGCGTAAAGCGAGGTATTACTGTACAGTATTACCAACTTACCTAACCTACCTAAACTTACCTAACTTACCTAAACTATCTAAACTTACTTAACTTACCTAACCTCACCTAACTTCCTAACCTGTTCATTGTTCTGATTTTCTTACTATCACAAAAAATATCCCCAGAAAAAAAAATGAATGAATTCAATCCAATATAAATACTGTAGTATGCGCCCGATAAGATAATCATTCATTTCTTGACATGTAAACAAAGACCACAAATGCTCCCAAAGAGCAGACGGTATCAACAAAAACATGTTTCCCATGGGTAATCTAGTGGCCCCATAATTACAGTAAATATTTTATTTCATCACTTACAAAGGACGTAGAGATGTGAAATTACTGCCATATGATAAGTGTTTGCAGTGTTTTTACCACATTATTTCCCTCTTCTTTCATGCCCTGTCCACTAACAAGCAATTTATGATCGAAGGATAGGCTAAAAGGATAAAAGAGAAAAAATACTACAATGTTCTTGCCTCGATTTTATTACTCAGTATCATCAAAACATCGGAAAATTTGATGCAATCCCTCCCCCCAAGACCCTCTGGTGCTAACGATCTCCTCCACCTTGACCCATTTCAGTAGTTAAATCATTAGTACAGTATAGATGGGTTACAGTCCAACTCGGCCCATTGCCAACTTGGCCCACATCCAACTTGGACCATCAAATACCAAATCGGACCATCTCGGATGACCAACTTGGACCACTTAGGTTAACGAACTCGGACTAAAAAGTAAAACTTTACACATTTTTGCATGAATGATAAAAGTAAAATGATAAAAAGCAACACAGATTGTAAAGAGGGAAATTGATTTGTTATTATTTAACTTTTCATTCTATCTTATTAATATATTAATGTACATATGTAGAAAATTGGCCGTTTTTTATCCTTTTTTGGGGGGGGGGAGCGTTTTCCAACAAAAATTATGGCTAAGCGAAAAAAAAAAAACACTAGAAAACATAAACCTGACCTGACCTAACCTAACCTAACTGACTCACCAAAGGATGGAATCACTTATTTCTTACCTTACTGGCCAGGTTTTCACTCGTCGTTGGAGTGTTTAAGTGGGTGAAGGGAATCAATAAGGGCGATATAGATAAAGTTCTTATAATATCCGAGCAGGATAGGACTCGTAGCAACGGATTTAAGTTGAATAAGTTTAGATTTAGGAGGGAGATAGGAAGGAACTGGTTCACAAATAGGGTGGTGGACGAGTGGAACAAGCTTAGCAACTTTGTAGTAAGTGCTGGAATGCTGGAAAGTTTTAAAATGAGGCTAGATAGATTCATGGACGATAGAGAGTGGTAGTAACTCTTGACAGGAGCTGCCGTGCACAGGCCAACCGGCCTATTGCAGATTCCTCATTTTCTTATGTTACCACAATGCCACATATGTTGGTCTTGACAATATTTACATTCGTTCTTGCACTTAGGACACTTTACTGAGATCGGGAGAACACCATGAGATCGAAAAAATGCTATAGTTTCTTCGTTTTCCCCCAAAACTCGCAATCAGCTCCATATAATTTAAGTGACACCCATCGCAGACTTCTATGGTAGGAAATGAATTTGAATTTTGAAATATGAGACCCAAAATAAAAATTTAATTTGATTGGCCCAAAAGTACTGAGAAAATTAAACCACAAATCATTTTCATTGGATAAAAAAAAACCTCTTTTGATTGGCCGTGTGACATGTACAGGAACGCATGCAAGTGACGATTTATGAGGGAGACACTCAGTGTGGGAGGTGAGGTAGGCGATAATGGCGGAAAATTAATGGAAGAAAATAGAGAAAATTTTGGAAACGCTATCTCCGTTATCATACATTTGCGACGGTAATGTAATAGAAGACAATTATCTTATAATTAGACGTCTTATTCGAATATGATAATAGATTAGGGGTAGAAATGTTGTGTGCGGAAATGCAATAATACCGAATCCTGGAGGATAGCGAATGTGATACCGATTCTCAAGAAGGGAGATAGATCACTATCCTCTAACTACTGTCCAATCAGTTTAACATTAATTGTAGGCAAATTGATGGATGCAATAATTTCAAACTATTTGAAATCACCTGGAGAAGCACAAGTTACGAATATTAATCATGGTTCACTGATCAAGTTATACTAATATAAACTCATAAAATTCGTCCTTCATACAGATTGAACCCTCAGTATTCACTCATTCACACTCTTTGCATTTCAGTGAACCAAAAGAGACTTAAAACTTATCTCAAACTCATTCCTGAACCTCTAGTCAGCTACTTGGGCCGAGTTGGAGGTACACTGTATAGATGGCATACAGAGTGATTAGAATATAACAATTGTACATTATGACTTCTGCCCACGGTACACTGTGACGAGGGTAAACACTTGCTGGATATTTACCAACAATTAACTCAAAACATATCTTAAAATTATCATAAAACATAATTTACTTACTTAACTTCCTTGGCACCCAAAAGACCAATCCTTTCCATCTCTTCTATTTCGGGGATGGTCTCTTCGATGCGCTGTTCAACAAATTCTGCCATTTTTTATAAACCTTGCTACTTACACAAATATTATAATAAAGGTCAATATTGCAACAGATCACTAAGACATTGTTAACATTCGGCTGACAGTCTCACACGTGCACAACACAACACAATGTTAACAAATTACACGGTGGCGTAAATGATAATGGGTTATGTTCTATTTTTTAAACCGTGCGGCCCAAATATAATTAAACCGATTATAATATAACACTTGTGGGTTATTATTGGATTTTGTTTTCTTTATCGACACAAGAACAGTAATTAGTTAATCTCACTGTTCGTCGTATCTCATGTTGTGGATGGCAGTCTCTTGTTTACAGTATTGCAAGGAATATGTAATAAAGACGTTATACTCCAAGGAATATTAAATAAAGACGTTATACTCCAAGGAATATGTAATAAAGACGTTATACTCCAAGGAATATTAAATAAAGACGTTATACTCCAAGGAATATGTAATAAAGACGTTATACTCCAAGGAATATGTAATAAAGACGTTATACTCCAAGAAATATGTAATAAAGACGTTATACTCCAAGGAATATATATTAAGGACGTAACAATCCCATATGATCCCTTCATTTTTAAGTTGTCAAGTCATTCTAAACTCTTTCATTGTAATGTACAACAATGAGATAGACTTGTAGATTAGAGAGCACTCTGAAACATGCAATTTCATAAAAGAATAAGCAAGTTGTGAGTCTGGAGAGGTGACACAATGACGGGTGGGACTTAATTAGAGATATTTCAAAGTGTGTGAGTCTATCTTTTAATTCTCCCAAAGATAACAGTAAATTTAAAGGGATGGGTTGCTAGTAAACAAATCTGATCTGATCAGCCAATTACATTGTTACTGTATTTCTAAAAATCGTGGTTTAACGTTTCATTGAGGTTTTGCAGTGGCACGGTATCGAATTATAGGTGAATCGGTGTTTTTTGAGTGGATGAGCACAGAGGAACTTAGTGAGGCATACAATGTTAAATCCGAGTACGAACATAATTACTACATCTATTTTTCTTCTTAAGACATAAACAAACTTATCTTCTCTTAAATCAAAATTAATTCAATACTCCTGAATTAGCTTTTAATTTGGGTTGTGGGTTAATACCATATTCGTTTTTATCTTATAAGGTATGTGGCAATAGGTTAGGTTAGGTTCCTCCCCCTCCCCAGGTTATATTTGGTTCAGCCAACGTTTGTGGTAAATTTTCAACTCGTTCTGGTGGTAGCGGTGTTCTCATACATTGCCGTTTAGAATAGTTGGGACTTTGTATTTCTGTATATAGGTCGGAGGGGGGGGTAATTGAGGCTCATCTCTATGTATTACATGAACCACTGATCTCAAAATGGCTTCTCTCTTCACAGGTGTTCTTCTTGGCCTGGCAGATCATTAATCGTATACAGTATTTGAAAACGAAGCCGCTGCCACTGACATTTTTAAGGCTCGTGCGTTCATACACAAAATATAGAGAGAACGTGGAAGGATGTCAAGCTTGATGCTTCGTGCCAGGAATAAGAAGGAATATTACTTACAATATTTCACTGTACATGTTCCAAGCCAAATACAACACATGCCTAGGAGGAAAGGGGAAAATGTGGGGATAGATTTTGTTCATTAAATTTTAAGGTTAAGTGTTTCTTTCACTGTTTTCAGCAGCTGGCGGCAGTAATACAAACGGATTTAAGTTGGATAAGTTTAAGTTTAGGAGGGAGATAGGAAGAAACTGGCTCACAAATAGGGGAAGACGAGTGGAACAAGCTTAGCAACTTTGTAGCAAGTCAGACCCGTCTTCACCCCAGCACTGGGGCACTCCACCAGGCATCTAACAAGCAATGGCACCAGGCAGTCATCACAATGGGGAGGGGGACGCCCTCTCCATTAAAAAAACTGAGTCAGCCATGCACGGTCAATGTGGAGGAGAGCCAAAGCAATCTCCCAGCAACGAGGCAGTCCTTGATAATCCCAGGCACCCAAAGCAGGGTGGATGTCGCAGAGCTTGTTTGCTAAAATGGCATCCCACTTGCATTGCCTACTCAAGCCGATGGCAGCTCTTATTACTGGCTTCATATCAGAGGCAGGTAGAGGGTATGATGTGCCACAGTAGCAGCACGCTCATTCATCTTCTCTCCCCCTTGGGCCAGAACCCAGCAACTTGCTCTCCCGCCCCAACGTTGGATGAGAAACAGGCACTGTAAATTAGCTTTAACCAAGGGATGGGGTGATGAAACACTAGCTAAGGCCTGGAGAGCACTGCAAAAATCGCTGAGATTGGGTAAAAATAATCTTGAGGGCAAGCAAAATACCTGAAAGCTCTGCCATAAAAATACAGCCACTCCTCGACTTACAACGGGGTTAGGGACCCATGTCCAGGTCGTAAGTCGAAAATGCGAAGATAATACATAAAAATCTAAAGTGGGTGTCCCTTTCTTCTCAGCACCACAAAACTTTCACTTTTAAGCATGCCAACCATTGTAAAGGGAATTACAAACGAAAATTTTGTCAGTACACAGCGCAAACACTAATGTCGGGACTCGAAAATACGTAATTTGAAAATTTTTTGGTACGACTGGGGCAGTCGTAAGTCGAGGAGTGGCTGTAGATGCCATTATGGGGTCTACCATCTAACAGAAGTCAGGAAAGACTACCCCAAAACCCACCCCTACATCCGACTTAGAGCCATCGGTGTAAACAAGGTTAGTTCCTCTGTGAGAGGAGTCATGCTCTAAAAAGGAAAAAAGAGAGAATAAACCACACAGAGAAGGAGTAAGTCCTTCCTCTCATTAAAATTTCTGACAAACTTGAACTTCAGGGAGAATCCACAAAGTGGCATTAGGGAACAGCATGGGGCATATCTGAACAGAAGGAAGACAAAGAACTCACAACCTCCCTTATGCTGAAACTGAAAGGTTGTGGCCACAAGGCTTGGATACTGAGTGTAGTATCGGGTCATAGTCTCATTGTACTGCGCACATCATTGTCATTCCTAAAAACCCCATTTAATTCATATTACGCTATATAACATTCAAATCCATCGCGCTTGTAGAACCTCAGAAAACGGGAAACATTGATAAAGGACAACTCACCTACTCAATGTTACTAGACCATGTGTTGTATTGTACCCAGGTACAGTTATATCATATTAATTGTATGTATTCATAGCATTAAGGAGAACTCAGGGTATCCATAAGATGAATGTTAAAGTCCAGTTGAGCCAGACTAGTGTACTGTAGGACTAAGTGTGGATCAGGGTTTGAAGGTCATACTATTTACATCTGTGAGCATGTAGCGAACATAACTTCCACAGATATCATATGAAAATACATGAGAACAATGATCTGGAAAAAGGATAAATGTATCAGAACTATGTGAGGTGTTGGAAGTGACCCAGAAACTATACTTGAAAGGAAATATCTTGTATGCATTGGTATGAACTTAATACACCTCGCATCCTCACGTGACATATACCCACGACAGGTACAGTGATCAGAGAATCTTATGTCTGTGTTCAAATAGTGCAATGTGTGAGAGGAGGATCCCTCATTACAGTTTTAAGTGAAGGTGATACACCCCCGCCATGAACATTCAGCCTTTGTTTCAAGGCGCGTCATGTACCCGCCTCGGGTGTGCGCGTTGATATTATAACCCAATGAATTTACCCACGAACTAGCAAACCAAGACCTTACCTTAGAGGGTTTTTTAGGATTAAAATATGTGTTTATACGGCATGAGTGACAATATACCGAAAAGTGTTCAGGTGAGAACCGTAAGAAATAAAAGTAAAAATTAAAGATTGGAAACTGTAGGCCTACTCGGTGAGGAGCGGCGGGCACTGCCCTCAGTACCCTCCGTTCTACCGTCACCTCAGGTCAGTGTCCTATCAGGCTATATCCCGCCCTATAATTAAGGTTTATATAGAAGTTATTACAGTTTCAAGCTTTGCCTGATATATAAGTGTAATAGTAATGTGTTAGGAGGTGTGATAACCGCCCGTCAGGCATTATTTCTCAGTACCCTCCGTTCTACCGTCACCTCAGGTTCCATGCGGTCGGAGTGCCTTGCTGCCCGGCAGCCATTATCCCTATGAGCGTCCCAACAGGTGGTGACTACTCCCAGCTATGCCAATCCACTGTGAACCTGTGGATTTCCAGCACACCACTCCAAATGAGTAGTCACAAATAAGGAGACCGTGAGAAACTCTGCCGTCGTCACTTGGAGCGACCTATAATACCAGGCGTAGAAATAGTGCTGGTATGTCTCTGGGTGAAGCCCTCGTCTCTACCCACCGAGGGCGGTGTGCGAACGGGGTGCCTGTTGTGTATACCTACAAGTCACAAGGAGTCCCATACCTGCAGGTATGGAGTGTAACATGTGTGTTGAGATGGTGCTACTATGTATGATAACCGATGGTGCTATATTCCATACAGGTGGAGCAGTCTGATGTGTTAAGGGATAGTGTAAGAAGGAATGACCGAGGTAAGGTGGTCACAGATTGTTATGCAATAAGTAGGTGCATGACACGCCATTAATGTAAGAGTCTGGGGCCCATCTGGGTAACCAACATTTTCGTTGTTCTTCTGAGGAAGGCCAATTCATGTATATGTTTTTTGTACCAGTATGCTTTATAAGGAATAAATTAATTAAGACATGTTATGGTTTCACCCTTCTTTCCCCTTATCGATCTGGTCAATGGAAAACCTAGCCCAATGCCTAGTCCACTCTGCACGCTACCTAACGAGCTACATGCTGTCCAGAGGGGGTCTGGTGGCAGCGACCCTTAGAAATTAAGATTAGAGTTAAGTATTCCCCCTTAGAATTAGTGACCCCCAGTCTGGCAGTATATCATCAACTATGCAAGTGTTGGTTACAGACTGCAGGTGGCGGCGGTGAAACCAACACATGACCTGGATACGGACGTCGAAGATCAAAGGGTGGCTTATCAATATCCACCAGTAGACCTGGGATTTACCAAGACCTGAAGGGACCAGTCACCAGGTGCACCCCAGCATGATGAATAGAATTCAGTGTTTTGAGTCGAGCCTCAGTGGCTGAGGAGTAGCATGTGGTAAAGGTGTAGCAGAGTACCTAGGTCAGCACCTCAAGACTCTCAGTAAACTTGAGAGCATACTGGCAAGACTCCTTGAGGTAACGAATATGTGGCTTCCACTTCAGCCGGTTGTCAAATATAGTGCCCTGGAAATGGGTCTCCGTGACAATGATTGGGAATGCAGGTTTTGTTGTTTGTTTTGTTTTCAGGACTACATGTCACTTCACACCTCCTTTATATCACCGAAACAAAAAAGAACAAAGGTGGAATGCAGTGTGTGTGGTAATATGTTTGACAGCAACATTCATCTGAAACAAAACCAGAAGCTTCACTCAGATTTAATTAAATCACAGAACCCCAGTTTCTGTTTCCAGTGATAAGGATGGTACTGATGCCTTCCTAGAAAAAGAACCAAATTCATCAGTGTCAACTAGGGTACCTCTACCAACTGTAAAAGATAAGGAAATGCATATCCTAATAAAATAACCTGATGCCAGTCGTACTGTCCTGAGACAAATTAAAAGTAAATTAATATACTAGTGTAAATTTAAATTTTTTTATGTTCTGGGTGACATTCTAGTTGGAAACTAATACAATACCGGTAACCCTTGCCCCTGTACAAAGACCATGCTATGCCATTGCTACCCCTGGGTCTCCTCCCCTCATTTAGATTCATGCATCTCTTGACCCAATGGATCTCATCCACACCCTGCATGCCCAAACTATGTCAGCCTACCTCTTCCCAAAACTTTGCCAATATTTTCAATTGAAGCTGCTCCCTCATCTCTGAACAGGGTTTCCTATCTTTTAGTGTTACATTGCACATCCAACTCGCCATTCTCATTTCAGCTTGCTCAATCCTGCATATATCGTTACCTTTAACCGCCTGTGTCATGCATCACACTTCTCACTCTAGTAGTATACACCTTTCCTTTTATGTGGAGGGAAGGTCCTCTTGCCATCAATAAAGAAAGCAATTTCCCTTAACTTCTTCCAGCCACCTCTGGCTTCAGCACCCTATCCAGCATTAACCATGTCACCCAGCCAGGTAACAGAATTCATTGACATAGTCTAGGGATTTATCCCTTGTTAAGGCCACATGATTACTTATGCATACATAACTCTTTTTAAAGTTAGCAACATCCTGCAGTCTGCCATCCACTCCAATGCACCTAGTGTGCCCACCTTCTACAATCACTACATATAATTGTGTTGCTGCCAACACCTTTTTTAGACAGAAAATGGCCATTTTCCACTGCAATTTCCTCATCCACACCACTAATCAATACTTTTTTCACCAGATTCACCCTCAGGCCCTTTGACTCTTATTCCATTAGACACACCTGTATCATCTGATATGTTCTGCAATTACACCAGCTACCTCTCCATTCTTCATTTTATCAACCGCTTCATTCACCCATTCCCTTTCAATCTTTGAGCATGGTCCCTGTACTGATTCTGTTACTGTACTCCTAAGCTGCCCCCATCCCATTTGTTCTCATTTTTGTGAATGCAGAAACTGTCAAGGACTGATTCCCACTGCACTAAATGTAATCTTTGCATTCCTTACCTTGGTGATTCATCTGAAAAAGCATGAGTAAGTAATATTAAGGTTAATCTAATGTAAGCAGCATTACGCTCAAATATTAAGTCACAACTAATTTACATTACAAGCTACAAAACGATGGACAAGCGAACACCTCATTGTGACTCAATACAGTATAGTAATAGTAATTAATGTGAGCTGAACCACTATTGATCTCCTCGGGGATGTGTTGCTTTGGATGAAGTCGACAGTGGAGTTTAGGTGCTGTTTGTTTCAGGAGGCAACTAGGCTCAGCAGGAAACCAAAATATAAAATGACTTGACTGTTCACTGAACAACAGACCAGAGTTTGTCAGCTATCAGCTCCCCTTACTAGCTCCTTAATGTCTAAGCCTGGACACAAAGAAGGATGAAATAAATTAAAGAAGGACCATACTGTACTGTATTGTCTGTATAATTCATCAACTCTCCCAATTGACATTTGCCATGAAATTTTCCTTAAGTTGTTTTGAATCACACCAGTACTGTGTATATCTAAAATGACCAAGGACAGTCACCCTTAGCTGGATTTAAATTGCCATAAGATAGGCCAAGTTGCTGCGTCTAAGTATGATGCTGGGGTGAAAAGCTCAACTACCAACTGTAAACTGAGCCATTAAGTAATGTAAACCTATGTACTGTACATGTTAAACCCAACTAAATAAAACTATGTAAAGACTAGTGCTTACCTTCCAAGAGCACTGGCATAAAACAGGATTGTCCAACTAGTCAAGTCAGCCCAGTTAACATGTGTAGTCAAGAATAAGATGAGTCCGTGTGATATTTGAGACTCCTAGCCCTCAGTCCGTAGTACTAAATTCTGCCTCTGACTTTATTCAAGGGTTGAGGTGAAAATGTTTTGAGGATGAAGGAAGGATACCATCAAATCCTGGGGCTTTGTTTGAGTATAGGTAGGAAAGAAAAGAAGACAATGATTGAACATAAAATCTAGGTGGCGAATTAAAGTGGGGTGAAAGTAGAGCAAGGACAGGGTGAAATCTAAGCAGTACTAACGTCATTTTGGTTTGTGGTGGCAGTTGCAAGATCAGGAGGTAATAGGTGGGTCTGGGAATTGTTTTATGGGGAGTGGAAAATTGATTAAAATGAGCCAAATTAAAAGGGGGATGGTAGATGGAAAGACAAGCGATGGAGGCATTGGGTGCAGGATACAATACAATGGATGATACAAGGATGGTCAACCAGGAAGCAGCAATGTATGAATGGGGATCATGACATCAAATAGTTTTTACTTTCTTATACTGTAGTTACAATGAACAAAATATACTGTCTCCAGTTTGGGATTTTTGTGGGTTCAAGAAACATATGTAAAATGGGAAATTATACTAATACATTAGATTTTTCAGATCTTCTTTATTGAAAAAGGCCCTATTATCTTACTTATGAAGTGAAAACACTAGCCTACATGAATCTGAAACTCAGCCATGGCTATGAAAACGGGAGTGATGACAATTATAATAGAATTGAACAGATAACTGGAATCCCCTGGGTAATGGCGAGGCCAGAAACCAGGGCCCTCATACATCAACCAAACACCCCTAATATCATTCAATAAAAAAAAATATATAATATATATATATATTTTAAAAAATCCCATGTGATAGTTTCTCATAACCTTGCTCAAATTTTATATTACAAAGTAAATAAAACTTTTAACTGAAGCCTTACTTGAATACCATATTATGAAACATTTAACAGAAAATAGTTAAGATGCCATTACTTTGCATTAAAGTGCATCCAATGAAGACTTTATACATAACTCATCTCATAAAATATAATTTAATAAATGCTTACAGCTTCTGGTAAACTGTCTGTGACCTACTGGCATTTATCAGGCAAGTAGTATGGATGTTTTCAAGCCCACTGACAACTGAAACTTACTCTGGGAGGGGAGCCCGGTTCCTGGATAAGCCTCGCCGAAGTCACAGCAGACAACTGCCTGAATGAGATTACTTGATCCCAATCACATGGATGTTGGCTGCTCAACAATATGGAGACTGGTTCAGAACAGCACACTGGTCAGTTTGTGCGAATCTGCCCACCCTTGTGCTGAACAAAGGTTGAAACAAACACAACATATCACATGAAGAACAAATGATCAGTGCAGGGAAAGTACCTTGGTTTGTTGCATTACCATTGTGTCACTATTACTCTAATGAAACTAGACCATGCGAGACCCATAGATGCAGCCAAGAGACATGCAGAGCAAGAATTGTGCTGGGCACTTTGCTCAGTGTCTCATGACACCCTACAACTATGTAACAATACAGATTATTGGTGAAGAAAAGATATTCCCTTGCACCGTAATGGACAACAAATGACAACAGAAATAAATTAGGGATGTGGTCATGTAATACCATAACTGTCATTCACTATAGTTCACTGCGGAAGGTTGCCTATTGTTGCCAGTAGTCCAGGAGTCAGGCTACCTTCTTGCTGTCTCAGGTTTCTGTGAATGATGCGCTTTCATCCAGTGTCTGAAACTCTCCATACAACTCCTCTGGTCTGAGCGGCCAACTGGCACTGCTGGACATTGCTACGGGGCGACCAACATGGCTGGTTACGCTAGGGTCGAGGGTTAGCCATCAGACCAACAGTACCCCTCACTCACTGGTCACATCACAGAGAGCTTCCTTATCCTAATGTGACTAGGAACCCCAGGTGCAGCATGGCCCAGCTGCGGCCGAGGCACAACACTATAGCAGGTGGGCAGGCCATAGCTAGGCTGAACACACTTGAGTCACTGTCACTGAGGGTCCTTTTGTCCCACTGTACACCAGCAGCAGCATTGTCCCATCAGCAGTGCTGGCAGAGGCTGGTGAGGGCTGATGACAGGGAGGCTGGCCAGGCGCCTGCCCATCAGCTCTTCCATTTAGAGTGGGACTGCTGGCTGTGCAGGCCACCTGATGGTATCATATCCAATAGGTACTGACGATGAACCTCTGCTGCTTGGCGCATTATCTCTTGCTGCTGTTGTTGAGCTAAACTTTTGCTACTGTTACTGCTGCTGCTATTACTACTGCTGGAAGTTGAGGGAGCTGAGGAAGTGGGGACTCCTAGCTGAGCTGTTGCAGCCATCAATTGTTGCAGTTGACCAAGACCAAATGGATTGTATGGTCCAAGTAAATAGGGAGCTAGCATGTGAGCAGGTATTTGTTGAGAAGCAGCAGCAGCTGCTGCTGCAGCAGCTGCTGCACTACTTAATCCCTGCATTCTTAGCATTTGTTGTTGAGCTGCCTGTAACTGTTGCAGTGCAGCAGGGTTGGACATTGCAGCAGCCATTGCAGCAGCTGCAGTCATGCTTTGCAAGTACTGTTCCTTTTGCTGTTTTGTTAGACCCGGTGGCAAAAACATTTCCTTTTCCCTTTGTTCCCTCTCACGTTGCTCCCTCTCCCGCTGTTCCTTCTCTCGCTGATGCCTCTCCTTCTCACGTTGCTCCCTTTCACGTTCACGCTCGCGCTCCCTTTCCCGCTCTCGTTCTCTCTCCCTTTCCTTTTCACGTTCTCTCTCACGCATCTCCCTTTCTCTTTCTCTTTCCTTCTCTCTTTCCCTTTCTTTTTGTCTCTCACGTTCACGCTGCAACTGGAGTTGTGCTGCCACGGAGGGTGATGAGCGATGGCTAGAGCTTCGACAGCCATGTCCATAATCTGACTTCACTGCAGTCACCGACACACTAGCAGGTAGTCGTGCAGATGGTGATGGTATTGATGCTGTGACGGGAGTCATAGATACTGACGCACTGGACATATCTGGTTGTGGTGATGCCTGGAGGGAGAAAAGATTTTTTTTTTAAATAAATTTCATGACAAGATGAAATAAAAATATGTGAAATGGCGAAAAAGATCAAATTACTGAACATATATAACATATAAATTGCTTAAGCCATTCTAAAAGCAAAATCAACAGTAATATTGGAAAATAAATAAATATACTGTACTGAAATCATAAATAATTTCCATCTAACATCTAAACTAAGAAGCAGAAAGCATATTAGTTTTTTAACCTTTCAATGTGATAAACAAAGAAAAAGAAGAGGGTGAGAGGCATACAAGAACAAGAGGAAGGAACAATTCAAGAGAGAGAAGAGATAAGGATTAGGATGGGGATTAAAGATGTGAAATAAGAAAAAATTGTGGTAAGAAAGATTTAAAATAAAAGCAACAAGTGGCTGGAAAAAGTAAAAACGGTGATGAAAAATGGAAGGTGGAAAGAATTGGAGGTAGAAAAGGAATAAGACTATCATTGTATGGTGGGGAGAGAGAGAGAATAAAATGGACCAGGTTATGACTGTAGAATGAAAGGGGAAATGAGAAAAACTATGGAGAATAAAAAGGTTGGTAGAGACAGTGGGACAAGGATAATAGAAGAATGGGTTTATATAATTAATATGAAGACGAGGTATATCGTTACGGAAGTAAAGAGAACAGTGGATAATGTTTAGGAGGATGGCAAGAAAAGAGGGAAGACTCTAAATACGTCCATTAACATTGATGCCTCTACTAAACACTAGTGTGCTTAAGATGCAAAACTCTGACAAAAACACAAATTTTGTGTTATGAACTTTGATCAGTGATTGTAAATATTATCACTTTCATCAAATTATCTATATGGGAAGTTATGCCCTGGACATGCTTTTGACCTTCAACAGTGATCTTAATCTCCGAGACTATTACAGGTACAGCATCTGCATATTGTTTAGCGATGATACATCTTCGTGAGTTGCAATAAAAAAATCTTTTGATACAAATTATTCTCTATTCAGTGTTTTGACCACAGACCTTACCGTGACATTGACCTGTCTCAGAATCTTTATTTAGTTGACGGCACAAACTCATGTTAAGTTTCATCAAACTGCTTACTTTGACACACAAGTTATTAACTGGATTTTTTTCCCTTTAACTATAAGCATCAAACTCAGGACAAGGTTTTAACCTTCCTGCATCCTTCACCTTTGTCACTTGAATTATGTAATAAGCATTTAGTCCAGGGCTTTAATTTATCCTTGTGAAGTCTTAAGATAACTGTACTGATGCAAGAGTTATGCTTTTAGACAGTTTTAGACTAACCTTCAGTTGTGATCTGGATGTTCATCACATCCTCAACACACAGAGGATCTGCTTTATTTGAATATCACGGTCAAACTGTCTTTTAACTTTTAAGTTGACCCATTTGAAACTAGAGGACTGGCTATATTAAAAAAATATTTGAGGACAGACAGACAGATGGACAACACTTACAGCCCCCTCTAGCAAGGCATACAAAAAGGAAAGTAAAGATGAAATAAAGCTTAGGGAAGTATCATATTATGTATTGGCTTTATCCAAGTGGTTTAAACTCCTTTGAGGATATGATCTTCACTGCATCATTCATACTTGCACTTTCATTTAATGTGTATCAGTTGTCTTGTACCTGCAAGAATGACTTGTCTACATAATGGGATAAAATGCAGGAGTAGGGGAGGAATGAGAAAGTATGAGATAAGGAAAGGGTAATGCAGAATTGAAGGTAGGTTATAATTAATAAATATATTTCATTAGTAAGTGGACATACGCCATCCACTACAAAAAGTATTAATACCATGAAAAATCCAGTTCTAAACAGATTCGTTCTGAGTTAGCAGCATATCAAGAAAAGGCCAGTCAAAGGCCAGGTGTGAGGTGAATCTTCCCCAAAATATGGGATGTCATGTGCGCAGCAAACTTCACAGTACAGATACTTGATAAGGGAGACTGGATGTGAGGCAAACCTTAAAATGACATACCGAGTGTTAGTAAATGTGAGGTAGTTACACTCTTCTCGGATGTGGCTCATTCCTTTCTTATAAAAGGAGGAGGAACACAGTGTATGTCCAGGTAATACAGTCACAGTACACAAAGATACACTCCCTGGATTTGCTCTTCTCATTGTCTTTGGTTTCCAATTAACCGTACTCCAATAATTGGTGTGAAGGAAAGCACTGCAGAAACCCATTACTCTAGGTCTTAAGCAGTCCTCGGCAGATGAAATACGTATGTCCGAGAGACAAAACCAATCCATCATAAGGCCAGCAGCTTTTCTTTTCCAGGCAAACCAGCACCTCTTCACACTTGGGTCAGAGGGATATGTGTGGTTACTTTCCATTACCAATTAAGGCATCACACTGGCTAGGGCTCAAACCCCTACAATTGATATATGAAAGTGGCCCCTGAAAACTTGTCCAAAGTATCCGCAGGTACAAATTTTCAGCAAATACTCTGTTAGGCTTTGTGCACCCAATCTTTTCCACTTGTCCTTCTCAGTGCACCAGTTTTCCCAGTTCCTTATATCTTTACTTCACTCTAAACTAGATCATACCCAAACACAGTTCAGTACAATTGACTGCACTGAATTACCATAAAGCAAACCAAGACACTTCTCACAAGTAACCTGATCCATTCAATAATCCTTTAAGCAAATTAAAATGTATATTTTTATGTTCTATACACCTTTGTAGTAATTTCAATGTGGGAAAACGAGTGAATTAATTAGAATGGTAAAAATCAATCCCACCCTCCCTTCATTCAAAGAAGGGAAGTAAGTTTAAACACTATATTTGTTAACAATTATAAAAAAATTTAAATCCTATCTTTTCATAATAGCATTATATGTTGCCAATCTTTTAGTCAATAAATTTCTTGGCAAATCATTGACACCGCTGTGGATCTGTGATTTTCTTTCGGCAGTGAAACTCAATTTTTTATTATGCAAGAGCAATCCGGTTCACCTCATATTTGAAGGACGGACATGATTTTTTCAAAGCTTCAATAACTACGTCATCTCAACACTGATAAAAAGGCTTCTGTAATAACAACAACTATTTCAATAATCTTCATTCCATCAAGTGAATTATAAGAAGAGCTGCATTTCAAAAAAGCTAAATTAGAGCTCATATCCTTTTTTGCAGTTTCCCCTTGGTGAGAAGAGTTAGCTTTATCCTGGGTTCTGACACTTGTGATAGTCAACTAAGCGCACCCGACCAACTGTACATGATCGAAGGATTTTATCCATTTCACGGGTTAGGAGTCCAGACTCATCTCATTTAAAATTCAAGATAATTTATTCTGGGCATCACAACAGTATCCTATGGAAGACACAGCATAAGGCATTATTTTTTCTAAGTTCATGCTGTGCATATAATTGTTAAGAGTGATGAAATATGTTCCCTAAAATACTGAAACACCAAGCAAAGGAGTCCAGCACATTTAGCCTTTTTAAGATATTAACATATAATCGAGAATGAGGTTTGCCCTGTTGCCGTTTGTTTGTGATTGTCAAATATTATGATGTAACCTTTGTAGGAGCATTTCTATGCAATGGTATACCTTATTTAAAGTGATATAATTTGCCTAAACCCGTTTTTTAATCCCAGGCGCACTCTTAATAACAGGCTGACTACTGCTTTCCAACGACTGTGGAGCGCGACTTATCCCATTCTCACGTGTAAACCACCACCCCTCACCACGACCACGTGCAAATCCCTCTTTTGTTTGTTAATATTCGCCTGACAGCATGATGCCCTTGCAATGACCACCGCCGCCCCGCAGCTGACCTGACGTTGTAAGATGACCACTGAAGATGATGACCCCCTCCCTCCTACAGTCAAGAAGTCACTTGTATCAGCCATGCCACCCGATCTGCGGCGTTCCTCTCGGTCGTATACATTTGGGACCGTAGAACTTTTGTGGGTCTCTCTCCGGTAATGTCTCTGGGCCTGATGAATAAAGGAAATGGTTGCTGAAAAAAAGGCATTGCAGAAAACATTGCAAATGTGGACGAATGGAACATAATTCCACCTTTCTTGACGTCATAGAAAAGACCAAAGAGGGCGCATCAAGACTCTTCACCTCCACCTCCTGAACTGGGATTCCTTGCTATGCTTCTTCCAGCCAAGACTTCTAATACATTTCTTATACCGCACAAAGTCTCTCCAATAATTTAAGGATTGAATTAGAAACATAAACTGAAGATAGAAACGTTCCCAAAACATGATGACTACAAGAAAGAGAATACTTCAAAGTGCACACGCTGGATATCGTGGCTCGTCACCTGATAACAAGATATTGTCACAGTAATAACTGTCATTACCAATTGTAGACTGCTTGTGTACTTCACTTTCAATGTTTGATAAGACAATATATCTGTTAAAGTACAGATGCTTATAAATCGATATACATATTGTCTGCTTTGATGTGGAGATTTTTGTCTTGTAGTGAGATATTGCTAAACATGGAAGAAAGAAAGGAGGAAGGATGGCAAAGAGTGAATATATGTGAGTGTTTGAGAGAGGGGCTAATTAAGTGTACTAATGGAACCCTAGCTTTAACAAGTAAAAAAATATATATATATCAAATAAATAAAATAAAAAGCAAAGACAAAGAGGCCTATTGGTAGGGGACAGAGTGAACGGCAAGCACATGAGGTATTTACGTAAAGGTCAGCTGGGGAGGAGAGGGACTGTAAAGCAAGCATATGCATAATCTGAGGAAAGGTCAGCTGGGGGAACACGAGGGAGGAGGGGGCAGGAAGCATACAACAGCTTCATTCAACTGCTCTAATTCTCTAGTGTATTATTAGACCACACAATATTAGCAAAAGACAGCTTAATATTGTACACTCTTAACAACTTGAGATCACATCCATGTAACAGCAAATCTTATTAATTTCCACCCAAAATTATGATCACTACATACCTGCAACCATCCCTGTACACCAACAGTTCTCTCAGAAATGGTGCTTTGTACAAAATACAAATCCTCTCAATTCTATGATTTTGTACACCTAACACGTCACATCCAATACCTAGCTTCACTCTTACCCTTATTCCTCATTTTCTTCACATTCTGAACTCCCTATCCAAAGTCTAAGATTTTCAATATATTTTATTTTGTAAGATAACAAATCCAGTACAGAAATGAAAAGTTTGCTTCTTACTGTCCAAATTTCTTTCACCCTTTTCATCTTCCTTTGCCTTCTTTTCAATTACCTTTCTTCCTCCTTAACCTCTATGCAGGTATCTAAATTTAGTTACCATCCAGATATCCACAACACACTTCATGTACCTAAAATTCTATCTGTTTAACTACATTTCCTTTTTGACTCTTCCAGATATAATATCCATGCTCTTATATGCAACATAAAATTATTTAAATCCACTTTTTTTCACTACAGACTATAATTTTTTCTAATACTGTACTGTACCTCCTTACAAGTAGAGTTGTTGTTGTTGTTGTTATCACGAGTACAACTTTATCATCCATCAAAAACATTAGTCCTGGTTATAATATATAGCAACATTCTACAATCCTATTTCCCCATACCTTTAATCACAACTTTCCACAACATTCACTACAAAGGCACATCATCAAACTAGGGATTCACTTTCAGTATAGGCAAAATCAAACTCCTATAACGGGGAGGATACACACCTGCAACATTAACAAAACAATGAACGCAATTCTATTAAGAGTAATGCCCCATCAATTAAGAATAAGCTTGGTCTGCATATTTCAAGAAGTTCCATTCATTACCATGGCAAAAATTAAATGGGATGACCTAACACTGATTGGCTGTTTTGTTTTTTTCAACCACACTTGCACTTAACCTAAACATTGCCCCTAGATTTACTATACATTTCTCACTGGCATTCATTGTTCGTGTTTTACTGTCTATTCTTATGCTTTCCGAACCCTTGTGTATATTTTCTTAGTAACCGAGGTGACATAACCTTTCTATGTTCGTGTTTCTCGTGCAAACAACACGGTGAACGCTAATGAAACTATGTAAAAAATCTCTATAATAAGTGTTTTTATTTTATCTCTATCTTAAATTTCATAGGTGAAAAAAATAAAAAATAAATAAATAAATATGTTCCTGAAAGGTATGGGAAGATTATATATGCAAGCCTGTCTTCACTTCCATGTCCCTTGGGGAACAAGACACCAGGAATATAACTCACATCAAAGAAAATAAGAATACATATAGCACAAAGGAAACTTTTCCTTATTCAAAACAAATCAATAATAATAAAAGGCAAGGAAAGACATCATACCCTAATATGCCTCTTTCAGCAACTGTAATAATTCTCTCCCTTTATCATCAAAACAAACAACACTGGACCCTCACTGTACGAGCATTCATCATATGCGAAATCGTTTTTATGCGGTGACCCTATTCCTATCCATAATTAATTTTAAGCGGAAAAGATTCCCTATTATGTATTCTGTAGAATACTGTATATGGCGCAAAAGTTTTATATTGTATTATGTTTATTTCAAAGCCTCATAAGAGTATTTTAATGATTTTTCTAAAACTTTTATTGCATTAATGCTCCAGAAATGGTTGTGAAATGTGGCACAGTGTGCGTGTGTGCTGCGCTGTCTGTAATGTCACAGGACACGGCTGGAGTGGCGCGTCAGCCACTCTACACACTTTCACTTTCCACACAAACACTCATGCTTTTCACATGTCTTAGTTTATTGTTTTATATTATATTTTAAAGTTTTTTATTATATTATCTTTTTCTAACCCACATTAGAGTATTGTAATGATTTTTCCACAACTTTTATTGCATTATTATTGACTCTTAGTAGTTGTGAAACATATCCCAATTTTTCCCATAAGATTAAGTACTATTCACTATATGCAGCTTCCCATTATGCCGTGTTGTCGCAGAATGCAACCATAGCATAAAGCGAGGGTCAGGTATATTGCTCCAATAATACATTACTTGCATTCACACATATTACAATTATGAAAAGAAAAAAGAAAGTCTAGTCCTTTTGAACATAACCCACACTTAAATATACTCTGCAATAAAGTCTATACTGTACCTAACTTCTCCTTTAACATCTAAACATTTCCTAATTATACTACACAAGCTTACTGAATTCACTCTCCAGTACAAAATGTCTGTACCTCTATGCCCTCATCTGTATAAGACAGAACATTTTTTTTTAAATATCCACTTCCCTGCATCACCTTAAATCGGCACTATGTTATATTGATATCGGTTGGGATTTCAATCGCATGCACATCCTCATTCTCTCTCATTTATAAGGGTCAACTTTGCTTTCAGTGCATTTCTGATTTTTCTACTTTAATTGTTACTATCTTTTTTCAGTCTACAAACTCATTATTCCTCCATATCATAACAAACCTCAGTGTCATCATTACTTTACATCTGGTTTAAATCTGTGAGCCAGCAGCAACACATCCTTCCCTAAGTGTCACTATTGCTACCTGGATGTTTTTCCAACATGATAATCATACATCCTGCATCTCATCCTGTCATCTCCTTGGTCTTTCCCTCCCCCTCCAAACATCCATAAGTACATGCAAATTATAAGTTGGTTGCAGAGGGGGAATATGTTTTCTTCTTCAATTGTGAACTTGGGGACACAGTTCTCTGAGCCTTCTCCTCTTTCATTCCACTAACCAACTTCCAAATAAAAAATGGGCGATTGATCCTGAACAATTCCATATAGCCAGCAAGGTTAAGATGTTAAATTTACACGCCTCAGGGTCCTAACTTATCACTGAAATCTAAAAAACAAATAAACTTAAAAATTAAGATTATCCTTCACTTTAAAATGAGTGAAAGTTGAAGAATGTTTGCTCCACCCTGTGTAACCATGTAAGTGGTGATCCTTGTGACATCATATTATGGCCTTTGTCACAAATAAAAGTGGATCAGAGTAGCAAAATTCTCCCAGCTTCTTCCAAAACTTGGATAACTTCATGTCTCAGGTTATCCTTTCTCAACCCAATATGAAGGTGAAACAGGACCATCTCAATTTATTTGAATTTTAGACCCTAGTGTCATAAGACAAGTTAAAGCCTTGAGGCTGAGGGATTCATCTCTCAGATTTGATTGCTACTCCGAGTTACTTGATTCTGACACATATAAATATACAGTAATTAAGATATAAAACAAGGAGATTATCATAGCATTAAAAATTAGGAAAAAACAAACACTTTCTAAAAACTAAGAACACTAAATAAAAATATTAAAATACAGTAACTTTTACAACATCTTTGTTACATATAGAATTTCAACACCTAAAAAAAAAAAAACTTTAAAGTAAATATATGATTCTAGTTAAATTATTTTAAACTCAAGAAAAAATAAGAAAAGTACTTAAAACTTATGATGCATCACAGACTTAGTACTACTAACAAAATACAACATTAGAGAATATGTTTGTCTACAATAATAGTAACTAAAGTTATGTCATTTACTGTACACTGTTACTCGGAAATACTGTACCCAAAATAATTTACGGTTGATTAAGTGATTTGTAAAAGGCACAATGCCATTTTTTTAATCCTTCTTTGTGGCACGGGCACAAACTCACCCTTGATTACAGTTGCTTCAGGGCTTGCATTTATGATAGGTTCCAGACAAACCACACTTTAGGAAAATGGAAAGCAGGAGATGAAAAAACCATAAATTCCAGCAAAATATAAATTAAATCTGTTCCTTTTCTTTAGTTACCAATTACTCGCCCTGAGAAGAGTCGTGTGAGTCTGTTCTCTATGTACAGCCAACAAAAGAAATTTCTGCACCTTTATGGCGTTATACAATATGACACACCGAAACTAGAATTCTGAACAACGCTCATTTATGCGGGTAATTCCCGTTAATTTCTCTGTATTAACTATATGTGTTAAAAAAATACACCATACTGGTTATACAATACATCACACAACCAGAAATACCAACCTTCCCAAATTCACACGGCCTCAGTCAGTGATCGTTGCCGAGGCCATCAGACCAAGGGGTGCAGAACATTTTTGGCTGACTGTACCTCACAACCAATGTCTATAGCATAACTTAAGAAAGGCAAGACTGGCATTACCTATTCCTGGTATATACATAAACTGAGACAACAAACAAAGATTCATAGCTTTAAAAATATATCAGTACGCTTAAGTTAGCATCGTGCTCATTTTGGGAAGACTAATTTGTTCCAATAATTTGAGAATGAGAAAGTATTGTTATGGATACAATAAAATGAATGCTTGTGAGCGGATGTAACGGTAAACTTAATTTTTATCCAATAGTAGCACAAGTCTTGTGATTTAGTTCTCCAGGTTATCTTTTTCTATAAGGTGACAAATTAAGCACAGTTATGAATAATGAATTCCTTACTTACAGTGATTATGAGCTCAACTATTCACTAATTTCCTCATATTTTGTATGTACTGCATATAAATTACTAATGCAAACCATTTATAATTTTGGTAAACCCACAAACACTGTGGTTGTACAAAGACCCATTTTCATCAACTTCTACGCACATGGGACAGTAAATCACTTTACAAATACTGTAACAATACATATTTCAACCCTTTAAGTCCTAGGCTTTGTGGTATGATACAGTAGTCTGGGCCAAGTCTTCCTGACATCTTGTACTGACAGGTTGTTTATACAGTACACTGTCTAAAACTCTTCACCATCATTTTTATACTTTAGCTAAACCTCTTCTTCATCATCATATTCCTGTCTATCATTCCATCAATCGTGTTGCTACTGCACCTATTCCTACGTTGACTCTTATGCATGTAATTGGCTGTACTTGCAACTTTCTTTTCACCTTGGTGTTTCTAGAGTAACTGACCAGCTGTGAAAAAATTTGAGGGTGAATTATTACTATTGGTGACATGTGGCATCAGATTCAGGTCGTGACTGCTCCGGGATATATGAAACAGGGCGGGATACACCAACCCACATCACGTACATGAGTAGGACTCTGGTCCCAAGTGAGAGAGATCAGTGGGGTAATAATGAAAGGGTTAAAGTGAGCAGTCACAATAAAATAACAATTTTATTTCTGATTCAGCACCGAGAGCCAGCCACAAAATAATTGTTTAAGAACATTCAGCACAGTACTGTAAAGATATACCTTGATTTACAATAACTATTTATATTTCAATAATGAATAATTCACAAATTTTTTCGTTACAATATATTTTTTTTAATTTTATTATGATTTTTTTAAATGTTATTCGTGAAATAAATATTACATATGTTCCAAGCGGTATGAATGACTGCAACATTTGTACGAACATGATTCTTAACGGATGTTACCGTATATCAGTTTCACTCAACACTCCCCAACCTCCCAAGGCTGTTCAAGTGAATCAAACTTATGACTTCAACACAAACATTATCATCATTAACAATTTGTAGGAATACTATTAAAACTGTTTAACGCAATATTTTGTTGCGGATATATTACTGGATGAATGATGGATTTAGCCAAAAGCCTTAAACTTATTTCCCTTTTTATGCTTCTTTACATGGTAACTATTTAAATTTTTTTTTTAAATCTCACCACTGCATAAATTGATAGTCCACTATTTAAGGTGAACTGCAGTGTCATTTCATTACATGTTGCATTTTTTTCAAATGTATCTCCCAATTTATAATGGTGATCAATGAAGAAATACAAATCAATCAACAATAAGGTTTACAGTAAGGCATCCCTCTCCTACATCGAGACCTGTACCCGAATATCAAACATGTCAAGAACAAGCTGAGTCATGTTTATACTTAACCACTGTACAGTACTGTATTTCACACTTCTCTTTTCCTTGTTTAATTTTTACACCTTCTGAGTGTCACATACTGTATACATACTGCTTATGTATGCATTCTTCTATAGATAAGCTTGGTAAGGCTAATCTATCTTTCATATATATATAATGAGGGGAGGGGGAGTATTACAACTGCCATTTTTATAAAGCAGATTGATTAGTTCTATTTGAAACAATTATAAATTTAATCCAAGTAGTCTGAATAATCACACTTGTATCTTGCTAAGGAATTTATCACCTCTTGATACATAACACTATGGAAGCCCTGGGATACCTTATCTTTCTGTTGTGCATTAACACATTATTCATAAATCCATTGAGTATCCAGTAACAGTGCACTTGTCAGACATTGGTTAGTGGAAAAAAACATGGACTGGTAACTAAAATTAATACTGCAAGGAAGGGAGGTGGTGTAATGTAGTTTTATCAGTCACCAGTCCACTGTAAAACTAGTATTAGTAAAAACACAAAACGTCAAACACTTCTGGTACCTTATGAGCCCATACCTGCGCCATACGGGCCTCAATCTCTTGTTCCTGCTGTAATGCTTTCACGAATGCGGCTTTCAGGCGGTTTGTGTGCTCCTGCTTGAGTGCTTGTTTGATGTTGGTTGTAACACACAACTCACACACCACCTTCACATCCCTACCATTCTCACCCTTGACTGCAAATGGAAAAATTTTACTTAAAAATTGTGTCTAACTTTAAGTGAATCAAGTGAGTGACAAAACAGTGACTTTATAAACCAACTTCAAAAAATATTTAGTCTAACACAAAGGTTTATAAAAGTTTACAATATGAGCATTGCAAAAGTTAATTACAAAACATATTGGACTAACAGAGTAAAGACATTCAACATGTTTCAAATGATTCTATGTATCACTTTCTTAAATTATAACAAGTTTAAAGCATTTTAAATTTCATGTGCCAAAATAAGGCAAATCTGAATTATGAAAAATTTTGCACGATGCCTCCAACAAAGTTGATGCATGATTTACTGTAGTTGTATTTTATTGTGTTTGTATACTGTACAGTATACAGTATTTGTTTTTACCAACAATGTAATTATTTAGGTCAGCTCTCAAAGTTTTCAGGTTGTCCTGCAGTCTTTTTTTTTTCTCCAGTACATTGGTGTTATCAACATTAACACAGTTCAGCCAATAAAGCAGGTAAGGTGAGGTAAGGTAATGGTTTACCTTCCTTGTATAGTAATTAGTGCTTTATGTAGCAATAAATGTTGTTTGTTACCTTCTTGATACAGTGATACAAGTACAGCATACGTAAATGTGATTATATGCAAGGACCCCACTTCTATCAGAAATACATTATATGAAAGAGAACTTCAGCTTTACACGGGTGATGCATGAAAATACGTTCAACGCCACTTCCTGACTCTCAGTACAGCAGTTCTTTGTCAAATGGATGCCCGTGTAATGTGAATCTGCCCGTATGCGACACTAATCTGCCCATCATGAAGACAAACCCACTTACACAAACTATCAAGTGGCCCCCATTTCAAATTTGGTGCACATGAAGCCTCACTTGGCCATCTACAAGTCCAGCCCCTTCCCATAGAGCAATAACCTGGCTGGCTAAATATTCAGAGTACTTGTACCAATATCTAAATATCTGGTGGGTTTCTATTGAAAATTTTAATTAAAAAATAATACATCTTTAAAATAATCTCCAATGCAGCTGTACAGTGTGTAAAATACTTCAGTTACCAACATTGTAAAATTAACATTCCAGTTACCAACAGCGTAAATCTATATTTAACTATCTTGATAACTTCTTCACTCTCTGGCTTCCATGTAAATTTATAGGTTTACTTCTGTTTAACTCATGTATTCCCCAACATCAATCCTCTCTCGGCATACACCAAGGCAATCTCAAAATTAATAATTACATTATAGTTACACATACAGGTGCTGTACTGAGAAAATAAAAAGAAACATGGTAGTGAGACAATATACAGTATGCACACACACACAGTATGCCAGGGTCTCAGAATTTTTTTAAATTCCAACTTTTTTTCCCAAGTTATCGATTCATTGTCAAGATTTAGCAATACAGTACACTAAAATTTGAACAAATTACTTACCCTTAGACTTAAGTGAAGCCTTATCCCATTTCCATGCTGGGGTAAAGTCAGTGCCACACTGCGTACAGATGAAGGGTGTTGGGTGGGGATCTGACATTTTGCCGTTCAAGAGAATGTGTTCCACACACTGCTCAAGGCCCAACAAGTATATAAATTCTGTGTTGTTTGGATTTGGGATGAAGTGCATCTCTGGCGGTGGTGGTTTGGGTGGTGGAATCTTAAAGGAAAAAAATACTTCTGAATATATTACACTAACAGATCTTAGAATTAAGGTTAATAACTGTTACCAATTTTTAAAGATCCTAGTATTTGGGTTAATAACTGTTATAACTTCCAACAGAATTTTATTAGGAAGCTCGGCTTCATAACTTCACTCGACAAGGATTTTTTTCTTTTGAATGGGAAAATCCAGATATTTGATTCACATTCCAGGTGCCAGCTTTCAACCCAATCTACTTGGATAATTAATAAGTCTTACTCTTACCCTGAGCAGCGTCTTCTCTAACTGTTTCCGGAGAGCCAGACGGGCCGCTGCTTGCCGTTGGGCAGGTGTGTGAGTGTCCTCCATTCTGCTGTTGTTGCTGCTACTACTGCTGCCACTGCTGCTCACAGGCTGTTTACCATGAACAAAACAACATAGCAATAACCAAAAGTTTTAAATTAAAGTTATTTCTTTGTGAATAACCCAAAGAACTAAAAATAAGAACTGTAAATATCCTTAACAAAATTAAAAAGGGAAAAATATTTTTAATAACACAATTGAGAAGAATTACCTTGAAAGAAGAGACAAAATAAAAGTGTCCATAATAATTATGTGAAACAAACTGTGTATCAATAAGATCTGGATAATAATGCACAAATATTTTCAGCCTTGAAAAACATTGTAAGTTATAGTTAACTTACCTAAAAAAAAATATTAGTAATCATAAAGAGATGAAATTCAATTAGACCAACATGTAAACATCATATGTAGGAGTCAAAATAATCCCCATGTTACCTTGTACCTACAGTCATAAATCCCCTCCTATGAGCTTGAGAATGATACAGCACAGTACAGCAATATTGTATCATCTGCCACACATCATCAAACTCTTTAATTTTACTATTACTTTTTGCTTAGTGAGCCCAACTATAAAAGTAATACTGTACAGCAAAAACTACTAATATAAATTAAAGTTGTTCTAAATTATACTGTGAAAACCTTTATGCTACATTACCAAAGGTCACTCTAGGAGGAGATTCACATTACTGCTATAGTACACTTTGTGATACAGTACTCCAATGAAGTCAGTCTACTATCTTGCTGAATCTAAGAACACTATGTTGTGGATGGTGGTGCCTGTTTGCCCTACAACTGAAGAGCTGCAGGTTATACAAAAAGGGAAAGACGTACGTATGCACTGGAGTAGTTCTAGTCATGACGTTCAAGAAATAATATACTTTTACAATAAAATGCAGCTATTAATCACATACATCACCTGGACTCACTGGGATGACCATTTCCATCCGACTATACATTTAGTTATTCAATTTACGTGGTGGGGGGAAGGGGGTACATATTGCTAGTAACACTCGGTTGAATGTCATAGTGCCTTAGCAGCTATCCTGTGATTATTATCAAGTGATTAAAAAAAATGCAAATATACTTGACTTCAAAGGTGTCTTAAGTAATGAACATGTAAAGTCTAGATTAGTGAGACAGAGAAGAGAGAAAAGGGAAAAATGTATGAAAGTTGTATTTATTTTAAATTCTAACCATTTCATTAAATGTCCAGCTAACTTTTTTTTCTATAAATTTGGTGATGGTAATGCAAGAACATTTTAATTTGTATGCATATGAAATAATTTATAGTGTACAGGTTATTGTGTATTTTCTGTGTGCTTCCATGTGCGAGTTGTGTCACTGTAAGAAATGTTAAAAGCATCTGTGCATTGTACTCTGTGACCTGTCAAAATATATGTTCATGATTTATTGCAGAGATGGACAAATATAAAGAAATGTTACTGTAAGCCATGAGCAGTGTGCTCTGTATAAAGTATTTGGAAATGTGTTCATAAATTATTGCGAAGACCATCACTATACAGCCACTATATAGTACAGTATACAAATATTACCAAGACATCATCATAATATTTATCAACTAAACCAGTACACAACAGCTCAAGTCCCATCTAAAACAATTGCTCTTACATTAGTTTCCTTTATCTTATGCAAAACATTGCAAGACAAGCTTCTTAGTTCCACTTTTTTTTTACCTATTCTAACACTCCCTTCACATCAAAGTAAAGACAGATGAAAATCCCTGCGAAAAGATTTAAACATTAGGCGACATTATTCAAGCAGTGTGCAATAAGAGGCACAACAGTTGAGGCGCACTACTGTATGTGTTTGCGCCTGGGAGTGAAGCCGAGCTCCAGCTCTGGGTGATCATGGGGGGGGAGGGGAGGGGATGAGTGACGGTGGTAATGTCAGATCATGAAGCCAGCCAAGCACAACTAATAATAATAATAATAATAATAATAATAATAATAAAAAATAAAAAATATATAAAATATAAAATAAAAATGCAAGTGGTCAGCAAACTACATTATGTCCCATCATTAGCACATTTTTCACTAAAAATAATTCAAGGAAAATTGGCCTGATTGAGAATCATGTGAGTGAAACCGCAGTGTGATAAAAGCAGGTTAAAAACAAAAATAATAATAATCCATGCCCTCATCTGTCATAACTGTTTCTAGAGACTGTAAAAATATCTAGATGTATAAAAATGATAGAGATAGAGAGACAGTCTAAGTCTTTCCACTGCATCTTAGCATGTCCTTGTTTCTATTGAATAGTTTTCAAAGTTCACAAATACTGAACAAAGTCCTTTTTTGAGCCCACTGTATGTATACTATTTTACTTATTTATATAGCTTCTATTTCTTGCTAATTATTCCCAATTTAGATTTGTATTTATATGTCTGTTTTGCTCACATTCTCCTCAAGTTGTTCCTGCTACCCAAGAGGGTTAATAAAATAATAAATTACAATCAGCCAAAGTTTTGATGAACAAATCAAATGCTGCTATGGATCGCTACATTTACTTTGCACTTGGGAAGTCTTCAGTCACAAGATGTGATATAACATTCCCTTGTAATTAGTCTACAACAGCCACAGTGGCTCAGTGCTGGTGCTGTATATAAATCTGATCCACCCTCTGTTATTTTAATTTTATTGGCTACATTTTCCCAGATTACATGTGTCTGACCTTCCCTTTAAACTTAAAAGATCAATCTTTTGGACCTTACTCCAACAGTTATTCCTTTTCCCTTTAACTTAACTTTAGTTACTTTACAACAATTTGTATTTTGCCATTTAGTTTTGAACTATTAAATCTCAGCAAGAGTGGCTCACAAAAGTATAAATATACAAATGATGTGTAATTCAAATAATTATACTACATGTACAGTGTAACTTGATACAACTGCTTTTACTTCACACAAAAGCTGAACTGATACAGTATTACAAACAACATACACTGTAAATACCAGAAAAACTCATGGTATGGATAAGATCTCTGATGAAAATGACAAATATCAATGGACTATAAGATACTGGTACAGTATACTGTATACAAGGCACAAGAGGATGAGCCTGATTGATGAGAACATCATTGAAGGAACAAGCTACGGTCAGCCATAGTAAGGCACTTTTCATATTGGGGAAAAAATTCTAACTTCTTTATAACTTTACGGTATACAAGTCATATGGTCTTTATACTTTATGGAGAAATATCATTCACAATTTTCAACAACGAGTGAGGGCAAATCATAGAATTCTGAAATTCCACAGAAAAAGGTTCATCCCTGTGGAGTTGAAGTATCAATTCTTTTAACCGTACAGTATTTAGCATTGAAACCCACAAGCAGCTAAATACAAATCTGATGATTTTTATGCTCGGAGACAAAAGTTTGAACCAATCTTTATCCTGAGCTCTTTCCAATTCTAACACTGAGATGATAGAATCAAGAGCCCCACACACACACTGAAATTCACTCATTATTGGTGTTGTAACAGTACAGTATGTATTCTGTAATTTTCAAAAGCAAATAAAGTAGATCCTGAAACTAATTAATACTGAATAGCAGGAAAAACTTCATTATATGAGCAATATAGAAAAATGGCCAACGTGAAAACGACAAAAGTATTACAGTATATTATGCTTTGAGTGTCTTTGTTTCCAGAGCATGACTTTATGACAAACTGCTGGATGTTTATTGGCAATTAGTGATGCAGCACATGGAGGAAAAAAAATTAATAAGTGTTAAATACAACCATGAATAAATTTGCAGCCGAGAATTATTAAATCACCCAATCAAAACCAAATTTCTAATGGAAATCAAGTAAGTAAAGAAATTTGGGAACACACAGAACAATGATAAAATGCAATCACACAAAATGGAAGAAAAGCAAAAAGAATTGCTGATTCTTTGGCAACAAAATGAAAATGGGACATAGAATGGGGTATTACTAAAATAAGGAAATGATAATACTAAAAAAGCACAGATGAAAGAAAAGAGGAATAATGATAATAAAAAAAAATGAAGCTGGGAAAGTGTAAAATAAGGGAAACTGAAAAAGAATGCAAGAAAATGAGAAATAACAAGTGCAATATAAATCAAGTTGGTGATATTATTATTTGTAAGAAGCAAAGGTAATAATAACTAATAGCTAAATAAGTATGTTATCTTTCTCTGAAAAAGTATCAGGTATGGAAAAAGGAAACAATAAATGTTCTAACCACAACATTGTGTATGAATGTGTGTGACTAGCCATATAAGTCTGTGTGTGTGAACACTGTGCATGAATGGATCTTTGTTTGCACACATGTGACGGCATATGAACCTGTGTATAGGATTAGGTATCAGTGAGTGAATGTCTGTGAATATGTGTAATTTTACTTTATACTGTATGTGACTAAAACCTTTGAGTCAGCTGCAGCATACTGTATATCTCTTAAAAAATAATGTCAATAAATTAATAAACACCTGATAACCCATCTCTTTGTCTTTGCCGATGACTTGCTAATGGTTAGTCATTAATTCAATCAAGAAAGCACCTGTGTGTTTCCCTCTGTGAATTATCAATATACAAGAATTTACTAGCAGCACCATGTCAATACAAAACTCACATTATGTACTATCAATAATGCATCTACTATAAATAATTTGAGAGAAGTATATTAACCACTGAACAAAGGCTGTATCAGGGCTGTCTGACCAAAGAACAATTCTATTGTCTTTGCATGGTGGCAATCTGGTCTGCATTTACAAAGATAACAAATAACTATTATTACTGACAAACAAACCACACACTAAATGCCTCCAACAAAGCAACAGCATTTTAAGTCCTGTGAGAGTGTTCTGGCTCTTAATAGACAGCAGGCAGGTGACTCATACACAACATCTTACAAACTTTACAAAAAACATCTCATGTTCTTTGACAAGTGTCCACCCAAAAACTATTGTATCCACTTGTTGAAATGATATGAACCGCTGGACTGTTAATTTGTCACATATATTTTCTAAGTCTAAGTAATACTTAACCCTTATCCGACATATTCCGCAACAGATGCAGTTAGAATGACTGGAATTTGCGCCCTATCAACAGAGGGCTAAAGATTTAATCTAACATTTTATTATTTATTCTCATGTTCTGAGTAAGTTTAGAGCATAAGCAACTATCATTTTATGTTTACTGTATTTATTCTGATGTTCCAAGCCAATTCACCATAAGCATCCAACATTTTAACTGTCCTTATAAACTATTCTTAAGCACTTATCATTTTAAGTTTTATTTTAGTATACTTTAACTACTATGGGATGGTGCAAGAAAATTACAATGTTTTCATTTCAATGAAACTTGTGTCTCAGATATGCTGCAGCTAACAGGTTACAACCAAAAGAAGAAAATATGCAAAAATATCTTATATTGTCTATGTAAAGCATAGTAATAAAAAAGCAAATTATTGCATAAAAAGCATCAGCTACTACAGCTGATTTCATACATTTAAAAATAAACTTTCAAAATAAATCAACTATAATTTTACACTTAACAGAATATTCAAAGTTAACTAAACACCAGAACTAGATGTTGCAATAAGCAGTCTGCACTTTGGGTTCAACTCGCCTCTCATTTGGGAAAATACTACAAAATTTAGTATTTTCACAAATAAAATATTTTCCCCCAAATCAGAAAGCAAATTGGCAAAACACAATTGAAACTAAAGAGAGGTATTGCAAGATCAAGCCTGGCTGAGTTGCAGCATGAGGATGATGTGCGAACCTTTATGAGGGCACGGTCGGCTGATGGATGTGTGGGGTGAGGGGTAGACGTCCGCACCTTGGAGATGGACACCTGGGAGGGAGAGTCCAAAGGCCCTGGGCCGGGGGATGACGACGATGCTGGAGAATCTTTGCGAATGATCTCCACTTCACGGGACAGGTTGAATGGAAGATTTAGATTGGGTGGTAGCCCCGTCAACAAATTGCTGGAACTGCCACTGCTACCTCCATTACTGGACTTGCTACTACTGTTGCTGGAACCATTACCTCCACCAGTACTGGTTAAGGTGGTGCCTGAGGGAGAAATACATCTTAATGGAAAGCTAATGGTTTGTTTGTCTGTCTGTCTGTCTGTCTCCTGGTCTGCTCATTCATTTCCACACTTACTTGTTTGACTCTCTCTATCTCTTAGCCTTACTCATATCTGTTCTACATGGGCAAATTTTTGCAAACCAAAAAAAGAAAGAAAGAATTAAAATATTGAGATACAACAGACCCTTGATAAGTAAAATAAGTTGATAGCCAATAAAAATTTTGATCCACAAACCACGTTCCAAACTCAAATAGCTGGATTTATCCAGATGTTTGAGACTAGAAATATTATTATAGTACTGTATTACAGTACAGGTATATCATAAAAATAGTACATAAATGTACACAGGCTAATTTACTTTCATCTCATGTTGAACAGTGCTCAATATATCCATTCTTATCTACAAGTAACATATTTGGACAGGAAAAATTACTTCCTTGAGTACTCTGCTTGGACAAGTACAAATTTACTGTGTTGAGTAAAATACAAATTCATAAAAGCATTTTTGGAAAAAAATTCTTCACAAACTGTATTTTCATTAGGAATCCAATCATAATAAAAGGTACATAAATGATAAGTTTTATCTATATCTAAACATTTTATACCAACATCCAAGGAAAGTCCACCATGAAATCTGAAATTTTTATTACTACATTCCCAGAAGGACATGCAAATTTTCAAAATAATTTTAGCCCCACTGAGGAGGACAAAGTGAATTAATGGAAATTTTAACCAATAAATTATCAGTATGTAATGACAACTTTACATACAAATGATTTCTCTGTATTTTAGGCATAACTCTTCTCCCTCATATGTTTGTTACTACCTCCTTTAGTCTACTAACTCTTCAAACCTATACTCCTACTTGACTCAAAACTCCTATGAACTAATGAATCATCAACCAGTTACTCCCCTAATCAACTTCCTCTCACAATTATTCCATCGGCCTTACCAGTTACGACACATAAACCCCCTTCCAACATCAAGAATAACTTGCAATTTATTTTTCATTCACCTCCTTCCTTAAATGTTACTATTCCTCTCTTTCATTCACATTGCTCACAGAAAGCTAATCTGATATTCCAAGCTTAAAGGTAAAAATATTCAGTATTTAGGATATGCACACACAGATGGAATGACAGACAAACAGACAGACACGGAAATTAAAAGACTGTCCCTAGGACGATACTTGGTAATAAAATAAAATACAAAATAAAATAGTTATTCATCCAGGAGGAGTCCAGTTGCAGGCAGGAATCTTAATCTGAAAGTTTAAAGGTAACAGCTTAATGCAAAACAAATGACTCTTGACCCTCTGACCTTGACCGATTACCAATGTTTCCTAAACATTAAAAGCTTCAACAAACATAAGTGTTTGTCAAGTTGAAGACCATCAAGTGCCCCAAATATACCAGTTTAAAACAAGCTGAATGACACATTACCCCATCACCTTGAATAATTCTGATTAAATAAAATATTGTAAGTGGCCACGGATATCTAAACCGAGTGTTGTAACAAAGCTCTGATGCTCACCTGCAGTGGTCAATTGTTTTATCTCAAATATAAAATGAACTGGATATAGGGATATCGATTATGTGACCGATTATAAAACTTAAAACAAAAAAGTTGCCTTTCTCAACATAAGGAAGAACAACAATGGGAGGCACAGATCAAGTTCTTTTGCACTTTACAAGTGACTTATAAATTCAATATACAGTTGATCTCAACATTTATGGTTTATGTAATTGTGTATTTCACAATAAAATCCTTTACCTATTTGTTCCTTTATGTCTTTATTAATGCTGTTAATCCTAGTTAAGCATAACTCAAGTTTACATATCAACAATCAAAATTAATTTTCAACAAATAAGCGATATACTGTATTAAATAAATTACTGTACTGTGAAGGTATGAAACGATTTTACAGGTTACCCCTCTTGCACTAGTGATGAGAACAGGTTAGCAAACATCATTTAAGACAACAGTTTCGGCCTGTGCTAACCTGTGTGAAATCTTTGCTAATAATGTATTAAAAACAACGTTGTGATATCAAAGGTCAACAGTCATTTCTTACATTACTTTAATTTTAACAAAAGCAAATACAACCACACAAACACATGTAAACACATGCTAGCACACACACATTTACACAGTTAACGCAAGTGCTTTTAAGATAGTTTACTTGCTAAAAAGAAACTATCTATGAAAAAACCATGATAGTACTCCAAATTCATATTCTTACTTTGAATTCTGAAAAATTAATATTAGTGTCATTAATAACATAGAAATTATCAACATTATATATGACCCTAATATTACCACTGCAACTGCACAAAGAATGGCCCTGTCTAATAAACCACTTCTCTTGCAAGTGCATCATTTTCCATTAGTGGTAATGTGACAAACAAAAGTAAATATTTTGCTTAAAAGCAAAATAAAGATAAGACACCAAGAGTACTAGCATGGTTTGATTATTACGAAACGTATTTGTCCTTACACTGACCTCTGGCCAGGAGATGCTTTTGGGCCTGTAGTGCACTTGGAGATAAAGCATCTGCAGAGGCCGCAGACGTCATATTCTTTATCTGCTGTTTATATTCGCGTGATGCCTTAATATGTGCGGGTATAGCCGATGATGATGCCTGAAGTAGAAACACATACAATGTATTGCAATTTAATTCCCTTTTCTCATTATTTTCTTTTATCTGGAAATATCAACAAAACACAATATGCAAAATGTTCCTGGAAAATGAGAAGTACAGGTATTAGTAAAATAAATAATCACATAATATACAAAATACTCTGAAAATTTTTTCTGATTTTGAGTCTTGGGCACAAACAGCTACAAGGAGAGGGATATTTGGGGAGGATACTTCATGTATCATTCAACCACTTTTATTAAACAGTCACAGCAGCTGGATGATGAAGATGATAAAAACTCAAATAAAGTACAGTGGTCCCTCGGTTAACGAATACAATTCGTGCTACAGAGTCGTTCGTTAACCGAATCTATTATTTCAATGGGATATTGGGTAATTGGTTCCAACTCACAGAAAAAGTATACATATAAAGTACTGTATACCGGTAATAGATTTAACAAAACATTAAATATAAACTAAATACAGTACTGTACTGTACAGTATACTGTATAATAAATAAAAAACAATAGAACACGGTATTTTAACTTACAGTACTTTGAGGTGTGTATGTCGTATTCCCGGCGGCTTTGTTTACATATCAAACAGCTGATTGTAGAGGCAGTCGATGATGACATGCCATATTCTTTACAGAGTGCATTGGTTCTAATGCCTTCTTCATGTTTCATAATAATTTCTGTACTGTATATTATCAATATGTTAACTAAATTTTAGAATGACCAATAATTTTAATGTAAAAATGCAAAAATATTCAAGAGACCAACAAACTGAATGTTCACTCCACTGTAAACAAAGTTAAACTGTGAAGCGTTGTTGGGCGATTCAATCAGCAGATTGGCGCACAAAATCTGTTCCCTGCACTGTATATACAGTATTATAATTATCAATATGTTAACTTAATTTCAGAATGACCAATAATTTTAATATAAAAAATGCAGAAATATTCAAGAGACCAACTTTCTTGATAATTACTCCACTGGAAACGAATGTAAACATAGAACTGATTACAGTACTGTATTGGCGGACTGGCCAATCAGCTGATGCGCACAACAAAACGTGTTTGTTGTAAGGATTTCGTTAATCGAACTGAAAATCCTTATGGGAGCTAATTCGTTAACCGAAATTTCGTTAATTGAACCGTTCGTTAACCGAGGGACCACTGCACTCTACTTTTCTTTGAGAATATCTCATATGACCAGAAATAAACAGACAGATCCATATACTGTATATGAGGGGTAACCAAAAAGTATTGATTATAACTGTGGGTGAATGAACAATAATCAATAGAAGCAATACCTACTCCTCTGCAATAGTTCTATCTCTCATAATTCTTTATTGTTAGGCTAGTGTATTACTGTACTAGCCTTGTTACGAACTTAAAGACCTTCGTTGTTGAAGTGCAGTAGTCACATTACAACAACCACCTCTGCCGGTTTAAGGCTGGCTAAACTTGAGAGGCTTGTGATATATGGTGCACATATGACATCCACAGTGCCAAGCTCAAAGTGGCAACAAGCTTGGAACATGGACTTATAAGGTACTTTGAAGTATAAAGTATTATTTGTTCACCTGAGTACTTATAACAAAAACTATCCAGGTAGGCAGCTCAAGGAGTTGTAACCCTGCCTTGCCAATTAGAAGACCTTCTCAATACTTATTCCTCAATGAACATTCAGTTTACTTTAGTCCAGTATGCTTGCCTTGTGAGTGAACTTTATAAAGTGTCCCTCATCAAAACATCTTTGTCATATAAACCTAACAAAACTACTCGGTAATCAACACACTAATATTTATAGTTACTTCATGACAATAAATACAGGCACTTTACTATGGTCTCATATATCATATTTATTTCCCAAGACTTCGTCAAGACAAATTAATGAATTGTATGACTTGAATTCGAACCAGTACAATGAGAGCAGCCTGAAGATACAGACCTGCACAGAGCCTATACTGTAATAATGATCAATGTGATGGGAAGGTAACTGTTTCATCAGCCCATTCTTCCCCTACAGCCATCCAAACCACAATTGGTTCATCACAAAGGCAAACTGACTACACATACGCATTAAGTATCCTATAAACATACTAAAAGATGTAGGACAGGTTTAAAAGTCAATGAGAGATTCCCAAGTATAACGATCAACAATCTGTATGTATACCCAATGTAGGTTTATGTTAACTGAACTGTTAAAAGGTAACCAGAAACTTGGTCACGGGTTGTGGCTGCTAGAATCCATCACAGTGTAGTTGTCAGTCAGGAAAACATTAATGAAACAAAACAGGCCACCACCTGCTGATAGTTATAAAGTGTAAACATGAATATAATCAAAGCCACAGGAATTTTCCAGTTTTGTGCACTTGGCAGTATTAAAAATCCCTTCTCTACAAAACACCTTCAAACCAGTTAAAATCACCAGTTTTTAATTACCGTACTGTTTCTTTGATCCACTAGAGCACAACCAAATGTACTGAAATGCTCAATAAAAGCACATGGTATGCATAATAGCTGGGCAGTTTTACTCCACATTTTTCATCTTGTCTCAGAGATCCTGGACTTTCTTAGAGTGCCACACAAAACATTTACAGAGTACAGTACTTGAGGATTACCAAAGGAAACAGGTCAAAAATATGTACAAACAGATCCTGATTTACAGATTGCAACAAACTGGAAGGCAGTCATAACCCTGATCCTCATAATCTGTCATATAGCAGCTTAAGATGAAAAAAAAAGAGAGTAGATTTAAAACTGAAGAAATGGAAGGAAGCAATAGTTGTTTCAAAATTAGTCAATGAATGAAACAATAACAAAAAGTTTTGTCAAATACAATACCAATAAAATGAATACCAAATTAAGAGTAAGAAAGAATAAGGCCACTTTCCAAAGGTTATAATGTTATGAGCCCAAGCAGTATTTATTTATCTCATGCACATAAACATGTGACCATTTCACACACAGTATATTAAAAGCCCATTCAGCATAATGTACAGTACTTCAATGAATATCTTGGCACTGATAGCTTAGGCAAACAATTTGGTTTTAAATATTAATTAATTTAATTTAGAAACATTTAATCATGTATATTTAATAATTAATAAATATCATGCAAGGAATTAAATTATAGAGCACTTTTTTAAAAGCATCAGATGAGCATTAGCTATATGTATCCCCACACTTGAGATACTAAAACATTCTCTTGCGGCGTAACTTAAAACAGGAAAAAATACACACATAAAAGGATATAAAAAGAGAAAGCCATCCAATTATTGAGATTTTCTTTGTGCATATATATGTGCCAGTAAATAGGGGAGTCACACATGCATGTGTGTGTGTGTGTGTGTGTGTGTGTGTGTGTGTGTGTGTGTGTGTGTGTGTGTGTGTGTGTGTGTGTGTGTGTGTACAGTGTGTGTGTGTGTACAGTGTGTGTGTGTGTGTGTGTGTACAGTGTGTGTGTGTGTGTGTGTGTACAGTGTGTGTGTGTGTGTGTGTACAGTGTGTGTGTGTGTGTGTGTGTACACAGTGTGTGTGTGTGTGTGTACAGTGTGTGTGTGTGTACAGTGTGTGTGTGTGTGTGTGTGTGTACAGTGTGTGTGTGTGTGTGTGTGTGTGTGTGTGTGTACAGTGTGTGTGTGTGTGTGTGTGTGTACAGTGTGTGTGTGTGTGTGTGTGTGTACAGTGTGTGTGTGTGTGTACAGTGTGAGTGTGTGTACAGTGTGTGTGTACAGTGTGTGTGTACAGTGTGTGTGTGTGTACAGTGTGTGTGTGTACAGTGTGTGTGTGTACAGTGTGTACAGTGTGTGTGTGTGTACAGTGTGTGTGTGTACAGTGTGTGTGTTTGTGAAGTAACATGGGGCCAGCATGTGAGTACTGCCTTAACCAGCAGCAACAATAAGAGCAGGAGCCCCACCTTGGCACCCAAGTCATGTTTAATGAGAGGTGGAGGTTGTGAGGGAGGCAGCTTAGTGGCCGTAGTATTAGACGGAAGCTTCGTCAATGCAGTCTTGGCATCATTGGCAGTTGCACTCACATTCTCCTTCATCACCTGCAACACCGACACGCATGTAACAAAAGACAGTTATCGAGTTAGCGTAGAAAATAATTGAATTTTATGACCATTTATTTTTGACACAGTTTATGACACACAAGCACACTGATCTTTCATGCAATTTACTGGATTAATCGTCAAGTACTAATTCTCCAGTGAAACTAAAGAGTCAAGTGGGAAGGGGTAATTATATTGATGCTAAATGTAACTACAATACAGTACAATATTCTAAACAGAAATGTTGAAAACAAAATGCTGTTCAATTACAATTAAACACAGAGATAAAGATACTAAAGAAGTTAATAAGAACTACAAACACCAAGAAAAGTTAGAAGACCCAAGTATTGAACGGAAGAATTTTTGGCAGACACCAGATGTATAGTGTACAGTACTAAACTTTGAAAAATGAAACATCTGAAGTTAGTATTGAGAAAGATGCATTCATATCAACCATGGGACCCCCATTCCACTCTCAACCTTTACACTTTGACTAACTGCAAAAGTTATCTGGCTACAAGAACCATAATCAAGTCTAGCAGCTTCCTATGTGACCTGCGCCTCAACAAAATGGGTGACTCCCTTAAATACCTAAATATTCTAGGCATCTTATCAAAAATTACATTGGCCATATTTTAGAACTCAATTCTGTTCTAGTCTAAGATTGGTCTCTTGCTCAACTTCAGTTAGTGAATTTAGTAAACAGTACATCAATTGATCCTCACTCCAACTGCCACTCAAAACATTTTGATTGAAGCAGCTGGGAGGAAAATTGACATATGATACATTTCAACTTCCTTACAATGACTGAATCAACAGTGCTCCTTCCACAATACTTCACTGTAGTTAATACTCCCTTTGAAAGGAAATAGCCTTTAATGAAGCATTATCAAAGTCTCGACAAGCTGAATCAGTCACTTAGAGAGCCTGGCACCAATCTCAGAGTAAACTTGGGATGACTTGTGTTCTAAAGTCTTTGAAGTTGATTCCCCCAAAATCAACCCTACTAGCTGTGGCTGCAGGCCTCACCTGGGACTGCCTGACCTTCTTGAGGAGTACCAGCTTCATCTCCTCATTGCGAAGCTCTACCTGGAGTCGATGAACCAGCTTCATCTTCTCTGCCAGCTCCTCTGGGCTCAGCTCCTTGATGGGTGGCACCGGTGGCATTTTGTCGTCATCGTCGTTGACATCATTGATGCCGTTGCTGTCACTCTCGTACCCGTTGCTGATGCCATTCACCTTTGGGGTGTCATCGGTCAAGTCCGAAGATGATTGGTGGGTGTCATTGACATGATTGGCAGTGTTACTGGCTTCAGGGGTGGCAGTCAGCCGGGGTCGAGAAGTAGGTGGAGCATCACACTCACCAGGTACCTCAGAGTCATCTTCACCTTTGAAGAAAAAGACTTTCACTACTTAGATTCTCTTATCACCTTTATAAAGTACAAATGTGAATTTTGTTTACCACAAGCGTTGTTCCTTTGTCAGGTAACTGTCACAGCTGTTAGATGAAGATAGCCCATTGCTGTATGCAAGACAAAAATCCCTCCCCCAGTGTTAAAAAGTGACATTTATCAGAATAAGCTTCCCAGCACAGGGTGATCCCCCTAGATGACCCTGACCTCTGTCTCATGTTTGCCAAAAGAAAACTTTTAGTCTATACAGCAGACATTTGTCATTCGCAGTTTCAACTATTCACGGTTCACCCCCAAAAAATTTATTAGCCTATTTTAGGCCTAAGCTAGCCAATTGCATTTTTTTTTACAAAATTCAGATGAAAAATAGTCAAGTGTTGGAGAGTAAACTTTGACACCTCTGACCTTTTTCTATTGTTGACCAAAACAAAACAGTGTCAAGGTCAACTAGATATGAAAATTAGGTAAAAATCAGGTAATATGTGTTGATGTTACAGTATTCAAAGTCCTCATGACCTACTACTGATCTCAGGTGGTCGGTGCAGTAAGTTTATCAGGAACAAAGTTACAAGAGATTGTGATTTCTTTTGTAGTGATTGGGTAATAACTGTGGTCATGTCCCAAGAGTGGGGTGACCTCCAATAATTATATGTCATTTTGACCTTTTCTGGTGTCGACAGACATTTTGACCTAAAATCTGCCTGTCACCTTCTCCTCAGAAGAAATATATAGGCGAAACTTATATGCAAGGCTATCAGGGTACAGTACCTTATATAAACAATAGCAGAGCAGAGTTTTCATAATGTAAACAATATATGGAATATTATGATAAGTATTGTAAAGCTTAAGTTATAATGCCAAAGATTTTCTTTTTATCAATGGGTTGTGGTAACCTTGATCCTTAACAACAATGGTAATAACACATCTCATCACAGATAATAAACTCTTAAAAAGGCCATACAGTATGGCCTTAAATGAGGAAGTCCTGCCACCTCACACAATTTGAGGAATGTGGTAAATTCTGGTTGCAGTTTATTTTTTTCTTGACTATAATTTTACAATCTATTTAAGGAAAACTTCCTCAGAGGCCTAAGTCAAGTTTAAACAATTTCCAAAGAAATGAAGATTAATGCTCTCTTACAGAATTAAAATTTAAGGCAACCACTGAGACAATAAATACTACTAAAAGTTTCAACAATTCACCAATGAAATTGTTCTTCTAAAAACTAATATCTAATCTGTTAGTTTAATGGATATAACTTAAGCTAGTCATATAACCTTTGACAGGTGACCTGGGCTTTAAAGGGAGTTAGAATAAAACATAATATATGTATAATATGGACACGAAGTAGTACCTTAAGCTGTGTATTCTTATATTACTCTATTAATTATGTATAGTAAAGTATTACAGAACATGTATTAATCCTATGTAATATTTCCATTTATTATGCACCATGTTAAGTATGTGAATTATCATATTTACATTTTATGTATTCAGCTTGTGAATGCTGGCATCTGTACATGCCAGTGCAGAGTGATACAGAGAGTGGAGATCGCCAGTCCTTAAGGTGAGGAAGTGCTCTGTCTATTAGTTCCTCTGTATATCTCCCGTACGAGAATAAGAACCTATTTTCAAGATAACAAGTGTTTGTGTATACCCTCAGTAGTGTAGAACATTTTGGTGGGTACCAAAGACAAACAGAATATATAACCTATATATGACCCCCCATGAAGCCAAGATGAGTCACAAGCCATGAGCCCAGTGTTGTAGGGTTTCACCTCTTAAAATGAGACAATACAACTTACTACTGAACACACCTGGTGACTCTTGTCATACCCCAGTAATAATCCCATACAATGATTATTTTGGTAACAGTTTAAGAGAGCAGCCTGGGTTAACCGGCTACCTAATGAAAAACCTCCAGAAGAAAACTTATTTCTAACCTCAATACTGTACAATAATAACACAAATCAGGCGGAGTAATTGAATTTTTCATATACTATTTTCCCCGAGGTTTTCCTGTAAATAAAAAAATTCTGTGCCACCTGACAATGCCATGTTTATGTTTCAACTATTTACATAGGCAGGAATGCTTCATAGACATAATGCTTTCACTTTCATACTCAACACAAAAAAATAGCCTCTTTTATATATTTTCATAATATCAGTTTGGCAATACAAACATTTCCCAGATTCCCTTCCAATTCCATACACAAATTTTTGTTTGCAAATGTTATATTATATAATTTACAGTAGATAAGATGTACCAACCAAACCTACCTATCCTAGGATAAAAGTACAATATAGAAAGGTTGCTGAGAAGTGTTCCATCAATTAGCATTTGGTTAACAGCTCGAGAATTGTCAACAAATGCAAACACAGCATGTTGGGTTGATGTCTTAATGTACAAGAAAAACTGGAAAAAAACAATATAAAAAGAACAATTCCTCTACCTAATTTGGGTTATTATTGAGGTAAGAAATAAGTTTTCTTCTATAGAAACTTTTAGTTAGGTAGCTGGTTAGCCCAGACTTGTTTCAATCACCACTCTCCCTCCATAAAGAGCTGTTTCAAAGATGTTCAAACCAAACCATCACTCTATACACCTCCCTCTCTCTCATTATGGCATGGGATGAACAGTGTCAAGAGCATCACAGACTCCCTCATTTGCATAGACCCCCTCTGTCTAGCTGGATCACTATAACGCTCCCCTTCCACAAGATAGCTTAATCATCTCCCTTTGGCTTGCCCATCAATAATATTTACATTTTTTTTTTACATGTCTCAACAATACTTCAAAACACTATCAACTATTACAACATTAAGGAAATATACATAACACATCCCCATAGTAAAAATAATCTCCCCAGCTTTAAATTTAACTCTTAAGTTATAGCTTAAGGGCCACGTCGCCTTGTAAATATATAGATGTTTTATAAATTTGACCCAAGTATTCATAGTGTTTAACTGATAGCTACCAACCAAGATAAAACTGTGTGAGATGACTGAAGTGAATGATACAGTGCATCTTTTAATACAGAGCACTGACCAATAGTTGTAAATACTTTTGCTCAATCTACATTATCATAATCTCATCTACATCTTATCACACTTAGCATCTTATTCATTACTTGGATATTACTGCTGGAGTCATGCTATAGTGCACAGCAGAATCATCTCACTTCCAATGCATTTTATCCTAGGTTTTGTGGGTGGTGTGATTTCAGACATAACTACGACTGAACTTGTGAGTAATCTTAAGAATAATTTGAACAACTTTCTCATTTAGAAATAAAGTTGAATACTAGAAGTAATGACCAAGAGGTTGGGGTGAAAGGCATACTGTACAAGCACTATGACTGCAGAGTTCATAGCATGTAATGTATAACTACTTTACCACATAAGTACTGCTCTTTTTTTTTCTAACAAACAAAAAATTACCCCCAAAGTAATAAGTAGACGACAATTTAGATGCCAGCTGCTTAAAGATGAGAAGGTTGTTTGAATATTCGAATACTCTGTTACATTAAGTTAGTTCCATTAGCCTTTGGCTACATTAAAGCTGACTTACTCCTTGGGACACTGGGTTACATCAGCAACTACCAAACAATACTCAAGATTCAAGTTTCTACAGTGAACAAAGGTGCTGCTGAAGATGAATTTATTGACCATATTTACAAAGGACTGATAAGGGTCAAGGAAAGTGGTACAGTATAAGAAAAGTGGAGAAAGTGTTGCCTGTGTAAATGAATTTAGTTCCCAATCAATCTATTTCATCAGATATTTCTGAGGCAATGAATAAATTTCTCCTACTTTTATGTTTGTGTGAGTCTAATTTTCATGCCAAATTCTATAACTACACAGACTTCATTCAAGAATTTTATTCATTCCATATAAACATTTGCATGTTTTTCATTACATTTCACTTTGCATACCTGAAACCTCACAGAATTGATTTCCTAATTTCATTTACTGTATTATCAATAACCTGTCCATATGCGTTCTTCCTATGTTCTACTACCTCTACAAACCATTTCCCACTCTGGTACAAGAGTATAGAGCCAAACACCTCTTGCTCACTGTCATTCACTCATTCTAGATGCAGTAACTGATGTCATCTCATTGAACATTCATCTTTCCTAATATGAACTCTGGCTTAGCCTCGTTGCTTCACATAATCCTGCCTAATGCACCAACATGTCCATCCCTCCAAGACACATCATAGTATCCTCTACATCATGCACACACAGCAGATTCCTAAGTGTCTCCCTCGCACCCACAATATAACATTTTCATCCTCTATAAAACTTTGACAGAAAGGGTGTTACAAGGACAGACCTTTCTGTAAAGAACTGAAGAAAGAAAAGAGAGCAAGGAAACAAATTTGAACAGCTGTTGATAACACATTAGAGGCAGACCCACCCTTTTTGGGATGTGTAAGTAGCATCACTACAGAAATGTCAAGATTGGAAGGTGGAAAAAATGATAGAAAGGATAACATACATAGTTATAAGGAGCATGAGAGAGGCAAGAGTACTGTAATGTACCAAGAATGGATAACATGTTTATAAGTAAAGCATGAAAGGAAGATACAATACTGTAGGTATAAATAATTCCTTAATGAGAGGAGTATATGGTATCTGGCTAAGGTTAGAAACAGGGATTTCTTCCCTGTTACCTTGGAAAGGTGATAAGAATGGAGGCAAACAACACGGAAGAACAAATCTTTTAAACTATAAAATGGGAAGTGTACGTAAAAATTATTATTGACAAAAATACTGAAAAAACCGAGAGTACAATATTAAGGATGATGCAGTAAGTTAAAAAATATTAGGATCCAATTTGCTTCAAGGAACATGTGAGTTAAGTTTAGGAGAAAGGAAAGAATATCTGTGGCATTTCTGTCTTTGGAAAAGATATGTATATGATAAAAGAACTAATGGATAAACAATGTGTTAAGATCTTTAAGTGTTTTGGATAAACAGGAAACTGTATAAATCTGTACAGTGTGTAAATCATGAGATGGTCTGTTAAAGGATGAGGGACACTGGTTCCTATTGGAAGTTGAACTACAGTACACATAAAAGATGCATAATGTTGTCATGGTTAAATATTTCCATGGATGGTGCAGTAAGAGGTGAGAGCAAGAGTGATGGAGATGGGAGTATAAGATGTTTGGTGAAATCAGGATAGTAGAGGCACTGTAAATAGGATGCAAGACAACCGCTGTTTATATATGGCTACATATTAACACAAACTCTCACTCCATACAGTATTTGGGCATTCATTTATTCCCACTGCTACAATAGATGTGTTCTGCTATGGTACTCCCTCACAAAACTAGGCCACAAATATCCTTCTGATTTATCCATTGCTACATGTCTACAGCATTTCCTTTCATGTCTTTTTTAAAATAAGTGTACTATTGGGAGCTTCTTATCGGCACAACAAGTGCTTTTCATGAGTTAATATCAGCAGATGAGTCTAAAATAGCTATGTATTTTGGGAAAATCCAAAATGTTACTTCAGATGCCAGCAACTAATGCACAGGATCTGGCTTTCCCCAGAATGTTTACGTACGGTAACTAATATGTAACACACCTTAAGATAACAAGCGAGAGCACCTGCTGCTCTGTCTACTAAAATACAGTACAACAATAAGAAACCAATAAGATTAACTTTCCAGGTGTATGGAATGTAGTTAACTTGGCTGCTTTATGACTATACAATACAAAATGATGCATTGTATCTACAGTGTACAAATAAAATGTCTCAATAAAAGACCAAACTCTGAGTAAAGACTACAATTATGTTATTATCTAGTAAATTACTAACACACGGGACAGACCACGAACAACAAGAGTTAACACCCTCACCTATTTGACAACATGGATAATAAATAATCTATTCTAATTAACCTGATCGTCAAAGCTCCTGCAGCATTGTAATTGCTTAAAAAAATGTCCATCATTTGAACCTAAAGAGAAGTGAATCTGCTCTTAGACCAAATTTACTGATGAACAAATGTTATGTAAACCATGAATAATAAGCTACCTGAAGTTAAACTGTTTGACTGATAAGGAAAACAAATACAAATTTCCTTGTATTCACAGCCAGAGGGTATTCCATTTTCTTCGTATTCAAAACGTAAAAGTCATTAATGTAGTTATGGTACCGTAGTTATAAAAAAAATCAAACTTAAAGCAACAAACTCAGCCATTAGTCAAATATGTTGACAGAATGGTCAGTGTTGCAGAAACTTTACCAGGAAATATGTTGTATTGTAATTAGAAACCCAGTGCATATTATACGTACAAAAATACTGTAATCTTAAGCAATGCAGAGGAGGACCAGTCAAATCCAGACAACTGATAGTCAAAATTACCGAAGAAAAATATAAATACACATCCTGACAACAGCACAGGTGATAAGATTTTTAAGAAGGTTTCTGTTTAAAGAGTTAAACTAACACAGATACACGTGACATCACAATGCACGGAAGAGTACGGTAAATATACTCTAGCAACATTAAATGTCTTGATTTTCCGTCGCACATTCCACACCAAGACAAAAATATGAGAGATCCACTCACCTTCTCTGAGTCTCTTATTAGATGCTGGGACACTGGACGAGAGATCCATAACAGCAGTGGAGTTTTCTCCTCCACTTTCTCCCTCTATAGTCTCCTGAGCTACTCTATCCTCCTGCTCCTCCACAGCCTCCTCAGAGGTCAATGAACCATTGTTCACTGCACTCTGCTCACTTCCCTCTTCTTCCTCTTCATCACCTCGCCTGAAATTAAATAAAAACATGTTAGATATTTTCCATTCATATATTACTGATAATATCTATGAAAGCAAAAACACAATACAGTACCTATACTGTACTTAAAATTCTGAGATATCTAATTTTGTACACATTACAGATAAAGGTTTTTTTTAAATCCCAAGGGCTACAGTTCATGCAAACACTAACATTCTTGCCCAAGAGTAATTGCTTTAACTGAATTATTCTTATATAAATATTTAAGAAATTCATACAGCGTACTGTACCAATAAATATACATTGAACCTCGAACAGAACTCTACATACTGTACAAATAGATTACAATTTTCTGGAACACTGGTCTGACACCTGTGACCAAAATAATCATAAACAATACAAGTTATATTAAAAAATATTAGCAAGGTCTCACGAGATAATGCCCAAATGATGACTATGGGCAGTGAACAGTGGAGTTATTTCATATGATAATGGTGACATGAACAAAATTATAGTGACAACAACTCTACTCAACAATCACAGTAAAATGAGAAGAAATGAGAAAAAAGTGGAAGCTAAGATTCACTATACTGTACTGTATGTATAATGCAAATATAAACTGAGGATATACTGTAAGAGCAACAACAGTACAATATGTGTGGATACAGAACCTATGTCTTACACTGCTCTCCCTGAACCTGGCCTACCCCATACAACAGAGGCAGAGGATTAAAGATAACAGATGTACAGACAGATAAAAACCATAAAGTCTGAGAAAAAATAAAAAAATAAAAAATCTTTAACACACCACAATTACTGTCCTTTTCATTAGGAAATCAAACACACGAGCACCAAGTTTCCCAATACTGTACCAGTAAATGTTCCTTAATCAAACCAATACAATACAGTACATACTATTAAATTTATCTACAACTTCCAGTTCTTCCCCCTTTTAAACAATATAAAACAAATTCCTATCTACCTCCCTTATATATATATATATATATATATATATATATATATATATATATATATATATATATATATATATATATATATATATATATATATATATATATATATATATATATATATATACATATATATATATATATATATATATATATATATATATATATATATATATATATATATATATATATATATATATATATATATATATAAAAGCGTGGGGTGATCTGGTGAAATAGAGTCCTCAAGAAAGAGAGGAAAGGGTACCAGTAGGGGAGATAAGATACAAGAAATATATAGAGTAAGAGCAGGGGATTGAAAATACAGTACGTACAGTACAGTAGCTACACGCACAAATGTTTCAAGCACTATTCCCTTTACCCTCTACAGTACTTGCACACAACATGAATGATTTGCCTCCACAAGGATTATAAAACTTTACAGGTACTCCTCCACTTAGGACCACCACAGTCGTATAAAATGTTTTTTCAAATTACGTATTTTCGAGTCACGATTGCGCTGTGTACTGACAAAAAAAATTTTGTAGCTCCCTTTAAAATGGTTGGCAAGCATAAAAGTGAGAGTTCTCGTGGTGCTGAGAAGAAAAAGAGACCTTTTTTTTTTCTATGTATTAGTTTGGCATTTTCGACCGATTCGACTTACGACCTGGTCGTCGGTCCCTAACCCCGTCGAGGAATGACTGTATATCAAAATATTCAGTGCCGTCACTATGGCATACAAAACAACTTAAGTGTAAACAATTCAAAATCTAGTTCAGTTTAGTACTATACTCAGATTACCTAAATGTAAGGGGGGCAGACACCCAATATTTTCTTGTATTCGAGGGACAATAGGATAGTACGGTGGTGATAATTTCTACCCCCATGAAAAAATAAATTAAAACTGGTGTGCACAGCTATAGGGATGATCATACAATCTTCACACGAACTACAAAAGAATAGCATCTTTATAGACCTATTTAACAACACTGAACCAAATTTAGAGGAGTTATATTATGATAGTCCATTATCTCTTTAACGAGAGTGTACAGTACTTTATAACATGGAAAAAAATTGTTGCACTTAACACCTTCACTAAGGGAAGTCAATATTAACATTTTATTTAGCCAACACCAGATGATTTTATTCAACACAAGAGACTCTCAGTACTGTACACAAGTAGCTAATAATATCTCCATTAATCCATTCACTACAGGATGCCACTTTTAATATTCCATTTGGTTGTCACCAGACGATTTCATTCAGCACAGAGTATAATTGATTGTGGATGATGATAACATCCCCTCCTATACAACTGTACCTGCTCAACTAACAGCTCGAGGACAAGAAGTGGCCAAACTACAGCAAACTGTACTGTACTGTACCCCTCTTTTATTTTATTACAATGCAAAAGTTCAAAATGATCTTCAAGCAAACCAAAATGATAAGGAGATATAAACAGAATTACTCCTTAAGGATATTCACACACACACAAAAAAACATCCAGGTTCCCAAATGACTGTGGCAGACCCTATCTCGACCTGAACTTTTTTTCTAAACACGGCCTCAACTGGCCTTCACTCATTACTTCTCACTTATGTTTTGGTAATTATCATGACTATACAAAGATGATTCTGAGGTCTGAATATGGGCAGTTGGCTGGGGTCATCCATAAGCTCTCCCAACAACACCTATTTTTTAATATATTTACACTCTCAATTTTCCACTTGCATTACATTACTTATATAACTCAAATGCCTAGCCAAATTGACTTTCCATTCAACATACTTCATCACCCAATGACAACCATTATGTAATACTGTACTGTACCTACAGCACTCAAAAACCCCAAGCTTAAATCCTGTAGCTACAGTACCACCACCATTTGACCACAAACCCATAGTGTTCCTTCCATGTAATAACTTGTCCCATCCACAAACAAGAAACACACGACATGATCTACAGTACTGGAGCACAATCTTGTGCACCCTTGCATCCATTCCAAGTCATTCACTCACAGCATACTTTTTTCATATTCACAAAAAAAAAATAAATAAATAAAAATCTAAATACAGCACAGTACTGTTGTGTACTTTCTCTGGTATCATAAATATTCAGAATTACAGTTAAAGTATCTTCTCATCACTGTAAAATATGCCTTTCATCAGTCCAAATACACAAACACTGCTTTTTTCAAACTATATCACCATCCTCCTCCCATAAGTTCTATTGCATCCAATTATCCCCTGTTCTGTAAACCAATTCAGTATTGTATATAATGTAGTATACAGTAGTGTGTATGTGTTAGTCCTTATCATACTATCTCCATTACATTACCTCTTCATCCTACTTCAACAGACCTTACACTTTATTAAGCCTCCTTAGCCCTTTAACTCTCAAGTATTAAGGGGGGGGGGGGTGTATCATCTACAGTACAGGGACTCACCACATACTTTACAAGTATCGTTATCACTTTACATACAGTATACTGCACTGTACTTCCCCTCCAAGCTGGGGGGGGGGGACACACGGAGCAGCCATCCAAGGGTTTATAAGGTTAAATCATATAAAACTTAAATCTGTGTGAATATTTGTCTCTGAAATTAAGATAACAGCAATCGGTTCCAAAATAAATAATGTGATGTGCAACTGTCGAATTGCCAAAATCATATGACCAGTCATTCAGAAATAATTTTTTTAGTGTTAACAGGTTAGGATTAGAGCTTAGATTCATCAGGAACTGCATTGTTTATTATAACTTATTTTAGTTTAATGATCATTTTGGCTTTGTTAATACATACATACGGTACAGTACTAATAAATTATCATTAGATCCCAAAATACTGATAAATTTTATGTCATTTCTAACTCTCCTTCCTACTGTGAAAATAAGATATCTAACTCTCCTTCCTACTGTGAAAATAAGATATTTAATAATGATAGTTTAAGACAAAAGCTTTCCAATTCTTGTCTGTTTATGTCATGCCATTAGTTCATCAATAGAGGTACAGTACTTTAAAAAGCATATGTGCTGCCACCTGCTGAGATACAAACTACACTTACAGGAGGAGAAAATGAAGCTGCCGTATGATGACAGTGAATTTCAAAATAACTTATTTTTTGCTTAAATTAATTCAGAAAATATATTCAACCTGTTCAGATATAAAGTAACACTGAAAATACCCCCTGAGCAAAAGGTGGACCAGATAAGTAATGCTAAATTGATTTAAAACGATGGTTCACACATCTAATTTGAGCATTTTGCCCATAACTCACATATAGAGCAAACACTCACTAATTACTGTATACTGGTATTTTATTGCTACCTTTCATGGTTACAATCTACTCGACATTCGAATAGGAATTAATTTCCCTCCTTGCCTCTTTGTTTGCAACCACACACTACTGTACACTTCTTGCCAAGTTTCCTAGCTATGAATCACTTTTAAGAAGTTTTCTTTTTTACTACAGTATATTCTAAAATTATCTCACATACTTTCCTGGTTCAGTGGTTGAATAGCCAGATTACCCTACTCATCAAGTTATAAAGACCCCATAAGTAAAATAAACCATGAATATGAATCTGCATATATCTTTCAATTAATATAATAATCTCATTATGAAGCATAAATCACCAAATAGTAATACTTTGATAGAATTTCAAGTGAATTAAACAGAAGCATCAATGAACTGTATACAGTACATATAACATCTTTAAAAAATATTACAGATCGGTAGCTGGAATAATTGGAAAGTTGGTATTAATGGCACTTGCAGTAACCATCTCATTCATGGTGGATGTTTTGTTGAATACCAAGATTTCCAAGGAAAATCTGTACTGTACACATAAATACACATACAGTATTGCATCTATTTGTACAGTACATTCAACTTAAAAATGCCAATACAGCTTAGGACACACTTTATCACAATTTGTTTGGATGGTAATAAATGCATTCATTAGTATAGATAATAAGAGCCAAAGAACATGTGGTTTATCAGTTGTCTATAGTATTTTACTGGTACCTGTACTGTATTTCCACCTTTCTAATTCACTGC